TTTTTTACCTCAGGAGGGAAGCCGCCGCACCAACCGCCGCTCCCGCCACCAAGGGAAGGCGGGACCCGGCTCCGGAAGCCAATCAGGGGCGCCCCCCTCCTCTGACGGATGGGAGCCCTCGCCAATCAACGCCTCCCCCTCCTCAGGGAGATACATGTGAGGCCTCAGGGAATTCCTTTCCCCCCTCAGAAAAGGAGAGAGAAGCATTCTCATCAATAGGAGCATAGTGCCTAGATCTAGGGAAGTCATGCTACCCCACTATTCTGTTTTGGTTAGACCACACCTGGAATATTGTGTCCAATTCTGGGCACCACAATTCAAGAGAGATATTGACAAGCTGGAATGTGTCCAGAGGAGGGCGACTAAAGTGATCAAGGGTCTGGAGAACAAGCCCTATGAGGAGCGGCTTAAGGAGCTGGGCATGTTTAGCCTGAAGAAGAGAAGGCTGAGAGGAGATATGATGAGGGCCATGTATAAATATGTGAGAGGAAGCCACAGGGAGGAGGGAGAACCTCATTGATGCATCAAATATAAACATTTATTTATTTATTTATATATTGCATTTGTTGACCGCCGTTCTCAGCCCCTTCAGGCGACTCACGGCGGTGTACAACATATAAAAACAGATTACAAAACCCTCATACAACACAGTATACACGTAGCATTAATAATACAACAATAATTACTCTAAATCATCCGCGTCGTCTCGTCATAGAATCGCAAAGCCAATCTCGTATTCCATAATTCCGTTCCATTCATCATCGTTGAAACATTGTCTCCTTACTTAAAAGGAGGGGGTGGGATTGTATTTTTAATTTACAGCAAGCTTGTTTTCTGCTTCCTTGGAGACTAGGACGCAGAACAATGGCTTCAAACTACAAGAGAGGAGATTCCATCTGAACATGAGGAAGAACTTCCTGACTGTGAGAGCCGTTCAGCAGTGGAACTCTCTGCCCCGGCATGTGGTGAAGGCTCCTTCTTTGGAAGCTTTTAAGCAGAGGCTGGATGGCCATCTGTCAGGGGTGGTTTGAATGCAATATTCCTGCTTCTTGGCAGAATGGGGTTGGACTGGATGGCCCATGAGGTCTCTTCCAACTCTTTGATTCTATAATTCAGGGGAAGGGGGTTCTCAGGAGGAGTCAGCTATTATAGTCCTACGTTATCATTATTAACCCATATTAGTTTTATTACATTTCCTATTTATTACATTCCTTTATTATTATGACTACTTTATTAACCCATATTCATTTGTAATATTTACAACCAGGCACATCTTAACACCTCTCAACAAAAGATTCCTCCAGGCTCAGCCAGGCCTTCAAATGCTAATGAAGGTGGTCAGTTGAAACAGTCACACCTAGCTCCAGCAGACAAGAGTCCTTTGTCCCACCCTGGTCATTCCACAGATATATAAACCCTTTTTCCTAATTCCAACAGACCTCACTACCTCTGAGGATGCTTGCCATAGATGCAGGCGAAACGTCAGGAGAAAATGCCTCTAGAACATGGCCATATAGCCCGGAAAAACCCACAAGAACCTATTAATTTGTAATATTTATTATTATATTTGTTTATTATTACTAACCCATATTAGTTTATTATATTTGTTATTACATTTGTTTATTATTACTATTTTTAACCCATATTAATTTCTAATATTTATTATAGTTGTTTATTATTACTAACCCACATTAGTTTATTATATTTCTTATATATTACATTCATTTATTATTATTACTATTTTATTAACCCATATTTATTATATTTATTATATATTGCATTCATTTATTACTATTATTTTATTAACCCATATTCATTTGTAATATTTATTACTATATTTCTTTATTATTACTATTATTATTAACTCATATTAATTTATTATATTTCTTATATATTACATTCCTTCATTATTATTATTATTAACCCATATTCGTTTATTATATTTCTTATATGTTACATTCGTTTATTATTATTACTATTTTTATTAACCCATATTTTCTAATATTTATTATTATATTTGTTTAGTATTACTAACCCATATTAGTTTATTATATTTCTTATATATTACATTCGTTTATTATTATTACTATTTTATTGACCTATATTAGTAATATTTCTTATTTATTACATTCGTTTATTATTATAACTATTTTTATTACTCCATATTACTTTTATTGTATTTGTTATTTATTACATTTATTATTATTTATTACATTCATTTATTATTACTATTTTATTAACCCATGTGCCAGCAAATATGGAAAACACAAAAATAGCCATCAGACTGGAAAAAATCAACTTATATCCCCATACCAAAAAAAAGGAAATATGAAATATTTCTCATGCCAGTAAGGTAATGCTCAAGATCCTGCAAGGAAGACTCCAGCAAGACATGGAGCGAGAGTTGCCAGATGTACAAGCTGGGTTTAGAAAAGGCAGAGGAACGAGAGACCAAATTGCCAATATCCGCTGGATAATGGAGAAAGGCAGGGAGTTTCAGAAAAACATCTATTTCTGCTTCATTGACCATTCTAAAGCCTTTGACTGTGTGGGACCACCCTACCTGCGTGACCGCATCTCCATCTATGAACCCACACGCTCTCTTCGGTCATCTGGAGAGGCCCTGCTCGTGATCCCACCCGCGTCGCAAGCGCGGCTGGTGGGGACGCGAGACAGGGCCTTCTCTGTGGTGGCCCCCCGTCTTTGGAACGCCCTCCCAAAAGATCTTAGACAGGCCCCTACATTGGCTGTCTTCAGAAAGAATTTAAAAACCTGGCTATTCCGATGTGCCTTCTCAGATTAGGAATCCCCATCACCAAGTCCCAGAAGCACTTTAGTTATATTAAGATCGCTGCACACCGCATTTTTATAATCCTACATTCCTCCTGCTACCTCAGCACTTTTTAATTCTGTACCCACTGCTCTGGCCAGCCCAGTTTTAAAGTGTCCTGATATTGTTATTGTTGTTGTTTATTTTGCTTACTGTTTTGATTTGCTTGGTATTGCTGCTGTATTATGTTCTATTGTATTGTGTTTTGTGGCTTCGGCCTATGTGAGCCGCATCGAGTCCTACGGGAGATGCTAGCGGGGTACAAATAAAGTTAATTAATAATAAATAAATAATACTCTAAAGCCTTTGGCTGTGCGGATCATAATAAATTGTGGCAAGTTCTTGGTGGGATGGGCATCCCAAGCCACCTTGTCTCTCTCCTGAGGAATCTGTACAAGGACCAAGTAGCAACAGTCAGAACTGACCATGGAACAACAGACTGGTTCAAGATTGGGAAAGGCGTATGGCAAGGCTGCATCCTCTCACCCAACCTTTTTAACGTGTATGCAGAACACATCATGCGAGGATGTGCGGGGCTGGATGAATGCAAAGCTGGGGTGAAAATTGCTGGAAGAAACATTAACAACCTAAGATATGCAGATGACACCACTCTGATGGCCGAAAGCGAGGAGGAGCTGAGGAGCCTTCTAATCAAGGTGAAAGAAGAAAGCGCAAAAGCTGGGTTGCAGCTAAACATAAAAAAAACCAAGATTATGGCAACAAGAATGATTGACAACAACTGGAAAATAGAGGGAGAAAATGTGGAGGCCGTGACAGACTTTGTATTTCTAGGCCAAAGATTACTGCAGATGCAGACTGTGGCCAAGAAATCAGAAGACGCTTACTTCTTGGGAGGAGAGCAATGTCCAGTCTCGATAAAATAGTAAAGAGTAGAGACATCAGACTGGCAACAAAGATCCGCCTAGTCAAAGCCATGGTATTCCCTGTAGTAACCTACGGATGTGAGAGCTGGACCTTAGGGAAGGCTGAGCGAAGGAAGATCGATGCTTTTGAGCTGTGGTGTTGGAGGAAAGTTCTGAGAGTGCCTTGGACTGCGAGAAGATCCAACCAGTCCATCCTCCAGGAAATAAAGCCCGACTGCTCACTGGAGGGAAGAATAGTAGAGGCCAAGATGAAGTACTTTGGCCACATCATGAGAAGAAAGGAAAGCTTAGAGAAGAGTATGACGCTGGAGAAAAAGGAAGGGAAAAGGAAGAGGGGCCGACAAGGGGCAAGATGGATGGATGGCATCCTTGAAGTGACTGGACTGACCTTGAAGGAGCTGGGGGTGGTGACGGCCGACAGGGAGCTCTGGCGTGGGCTGGTCCATGAGGTCACGAAGAGTCGGAGACGACTGAACGAATGAACAACAACAGTTTGGCAGAAGCTGGGGCTAGCAGCGGGAGCTAACCCCTCTCCCCGGATTCAAACCGACAACCTTTCTGTCTGCAAGTTCCGTAACTCAGTGGTTTAACCCATTGCACCTAAGAAATCCTATTTCCCTATAATAAAGTGTACAGATACAGTTCTTGAAAATCCTAGTTTTATATAATTTTTAATGTAATTTTGAACATTCTCATTTTGTATATTTTAAGATAAAGGTACAACAAAAGCACTGGAATTCCCAGCATAGATCTTTAAATGATTTTGCAAACAGAACTGACCCCATGGCAGAATCACAGTTTTATCTGGAATGTCCTCATTAAGGAGAACCTCAAGCAAATGACTAGGAATGAACTGGCAAAAATAAGAAAGAAAAGTTTGATGGAAAATTACAATACTGTGAGAGAAAAAGAGAGGTGGTGCTATGAATGGAAAGCTCTTTCAACCTAAACACAGTTAGCTTTTCCTTATTCTTTCCCATTTACTCTACATCGCTGATAATTTCAAATAATAGAATCATAGAATTGGAAGAGACCCCATGGGCCATCCAGTCCAACTCCCTGCTAAGAATTAGGAATATTGCATTCAAAGCACCCCTGACAGATGGCCATCCAGCCTCTGTTTAAAAGCTTCCAAAGAAGGAGCGTCCTCCACACTCCAGGGCAGAGAGTTCCACTGCTAAACAGCAATGTAGCTTGCAAGAAACTAAACGAGAGTTTAGATACCATCGTTTAAAAATACAAATAATTTCATATTGTTGGTCTTAACAAGAACATATGCTACACTGTTTTTAGACAAAAGCATTTATTAAGGTTATATTTATTGTTCTCAGCCTGCAAAAAACTGGTGCGAAGTGAATCACTTAAGCTTAACACTTTTCTTAACTCCAGCACGAATGCCAGACAGTTCGCCTCCGTATCTTTGTTCTTCTCTCCGTGTCTCACGAACTTGCCCCCTTCTACGTATCTTGGCTCGTCTGAATTTCTCACGATGCTTGACTCTTGGGTTGCGATCAATCTTCTTCCTTCTGGGAGTGAGGCCTTTATTCTTGAGAATCTGGTATGTTGCACCTCTCTTATCCCCTGACAGTTCCTCTTCCACAATCGCTTTTCCGTCCCCTTCCGTATCATCACGTTTTCTCTTTTTCTTCAGCTTTATTTGTTCTTCCATCAGTTTGTAATAATTCAGAGCAGCCTGCTCATCAAAATCTGAATCGTCTGCTGGTTCTTCATTAGAAATCTCACAAACAGTTTTTGGTTTAGTTCTACCAACTGATTTTTTGACACCTGCAAACTTCTTTCTGCTTTCCATGCTGATTTTGTTGTCATTACAAAATTCCTTAAGGAGCAAGCGTACTTCTGGGGACACCTTTTGATCCACTGTTCCTAAATCGTTTATCAAGTTCCTATACGTCACAAGCCTTTCAATGACAGGGTGGCCGTGGATTTGGATCCTTTTGGCTTTCAGCACTAAATAGAAACTGATGTTGCAGCAGTAGTTCAAATAGAGATGATACTTGGTCCGCAAATAGTGGCTGCCTTTTCCTTCTGAGATGACTCCGTCTCTGATAAGGTTCATAAGCGGCTCCAGTTCGTCTTGGAGCTCCGTCATCTTGGCCTCGAAGTCCTGGATCAGCTCCAGCAACTCGGGGGATTCCTTTTTCAGCAGTTTGAGCTGCTCCTTTTTGGAAAGGGACTGCAAGTCTTGGGCGATCTTCTGCCCGGATTCTTTCTCGCTGGGTCTCCCGGCGTAGGATCGTACCAAATCGAAGCCGTAGTCGTCCTCGCCGAGGTTCTCCGCCAGCCTTTTCTGGATAGCTTGGGCCGCCTCCTCTTCCTCCAGTTCCTCCGCTTCGGCGTCCTCTTTGCTCTTCTTGGTGGCTTTGGGTTTGGAGATGGCTTTGCCATAATCAGTGCCATAATAGAGCTGCTTCCTCTGGCCCCAGGCGAGCTCATCTGGAAGGCCGGAGCCTGGTTGCTCTTCCAGGTCGCTCTCCATGTCAAGATCCTCCTCCTCCTCCTCGAAATCCTCCTCCTCCTCGTCCAGCTCCAGGCCTAGCACTTCCTCCGCCTCCTCCCCATCGCCCTCCTCGTCCTCGCTGCCCAGGGCCGCCCGCACCGCCTCCTCCAGCCGCTTCTCCTGGAAGTCGTCCGCCTCCTCCGTCACGCACAGGGACCCCGGCTCCGGCTCCTCCATCTTCTCCTCCTGCGGCTTCCAGGCCTTCAAACCCGGAGCCGCTCGCCGCCTCGCTTTCCCCATGATCCCGGCCAATGTGGGGAATGGCTTCCTGGAAGGAAGCGGAAAAGCCTCGGCGTACTTCCGTTTCCGGTGACAACTGCGCATGCGTGAAGGTCCCAGGCTTGCTCTCGCTGGTCTCGCAAGCCTAACGTCATCCGGGTAATTTTTTTTGTTTTTGTTTCAGACTCCAATTCCCAGAAGCCTCAGCCGGGGAAGGCAGTTGTCAGGAATTCTGGGAGTTGAAGTCCTAACACTACTGTAAGAGGACCACTGCTTAAAGGAGGCGTGGGCAAAGTTGTATTATAATATTGCAATATTATTATTATTGTTATTGTTATTATTGTTATTGTTATTATTATTATATATCATTATATTGTATTACCATTACTATTACATTGTATTATATTATTAATATTATATTATATGTGTGTATATAATATATTATTAGCACAACACAATGTTAGTATGATATTATATTGTACTTTACCACTACATTGCAATATTATTAGTAATAGTGCATGTGATATGTAATATACAATTATTATATAGTATTATATTGTACTATATTAGTAAACCACAATATATATATAATACACTACCAGTATATAGTTCTATATCATAAGTTGTAGTGTATATAATTTATTTTATTTACTTTATTTGTATACCGCTCTTCTCAGCCCTTAGGCGACTCAGAGCGGTTAACAACACAGTTTCAATATACAATATTATTAATATATGTAATATATTATTATTATTACTAGAATCATAGAATCAAAGAGTTGGAAGAGACCTCATGGGCCATCCAGTTCAACCCCCTGCCTAGAAGCAGGAATATTGCATTCAAATCACCCCAGACAGATGGCCATCCAGCCTCTTGTTTAAAAGCTTCCAAAGAAGGAGCCTCCACCACACTCCGGGGCAGAGAGTTCCACTGCTGAACGGCTCTCACAGTCAGGAAGTTCTTCCTCATGTTCAGATGGAATCTCGTTTCTTGTAGTTTGAAGCCATTCTTCCACGTCCTAGTCTCCAGGGAAGCAGAAAACAAGCATGCTCCCTCCTCCCTGTGACTTCCTTTCACATATTTATACATGGCTATCATAACTCCTCTCAGCCTTTCCTTCTCTCCTTCCTTCTCTTCCTCTTCCCTTCCTTCACCCCTCTTTTTCTTTCCCTTCCTCTGTCTCTCCTTTCTTCCTTCTCTACCTATTCTTGGACTGCAACTCCCAGCAGTCCTCCTGATCGATTGATCTACCTACCTACTAACCTACCTACCTATATCTATGTAATTTATCTATCTGGAGGATTGCTGGGAGTTGCAGTCCAGGAATAGGAAATCGGAAATATGCAGGGATTGGGATGCTCTCAAAGAAATCCAAGGAGAAGCAAGCTTGCATCCTGGAAGCAGTGCATTTGGATCATCCTCCTCTCCTAAAGGGCCTGGTCAAAGGGATGCAACCTTTTGGTCAACAAGTTTAGCAGCTCAGTGGTTTAACCCACAGCGCCATCAGGGGCTCCAAGACTATGGTAACCTCCAGTACAAGCTCAATCTTGGGGGTGGAGGGGGGAAGCAAGGTACAAATAAATATAAATACAATAAGAGGACGAAGAGGAGGAGGAGGAAATGAGGAGGAGGTGGAGATGGAGAGGAAGAAGAAGAGTCTAGGGATGGTATGATTGGGATATTGAGGTGGCTACATTGTTTTAAATATATTTTAATATTTTTTGTTTCAAGACACAAAAGTGCTTTATATTTTTATACTCATATTTTAAGGCATTTGCATTATTTAAATTTCCATTGTGTCATATTTATTGTTAACAGCCCTGAGTCCCTATATTTAAGAGAAAGGCAGGATAAAAATAAAATAAATAGATGCCATAGAATCACCTACAGGGTTTAGACAATTTAGAGGACATGTGTTGTTGGTTGCAGGTAGGTAAAACCATGAGTATTGCTCATGCAGGTACAGTGTTCATACTGTATATCTTTCTCATGGGAATTCTTCTTTCTCCTCCTCCTCTTCTTGTTTCTTCTCCTTCCTCTTCTTCTCCTTCTTTCCCTCTTCCTTCTTCTATTTCTATCTTTTTATGAAACAAAACAAATAAACAATAAAATAATCTTGCTTTCCCCAAGATTAAGCCTTTTCTTTGGGTCCTGCTTTATGTCAACTAAGTAAGGCACAGAGGACACAAAAATAAGGTCTAGGTGCTCTCCGTTGGCTGTTGTGGTGCAAAAGAGGAATGAAACTGCTTGATCCCAAACCCTACGACCATCCTATGCAAAAGAAGTGCAGGTGCCGATTTATTTTTAAGAATACCACAGAACAGGTGCAGCTTTTGCAACGGACTAATCTGGAATAAATTTTCTCATTGAGTAATGGAAAGGAAGTGGAACCATCAAGGTGGCCAACCATGGTAATGTGTTTAAATAATTTTCCATCCATAACACATCTCATGTGGAAAGAATATATTTCATTGAATCATCCTACTGAGGTGTTTACTGATCTAACATACCTATGTGGCTTGAGAGTTATCATTTATGGGTTAAAATAAACCAGAATTGTTCTACATGTATGAGACAGTTCTATATATGTATTAAACTCTGCACTGTACATAAACAAAGGAAATGCAGTCACCGTTCCTAATGTTGCCAGCCTATCTTGAGCAAGGGTGCTTTTAGAGGGACAATTTCCAATCAAAAGAAGGAACCCCACCAGTCTTACTGTGCAAATTCATTGAATAGAGAATAGTTTTCTATTCAAAGAACTAACCAGATTAACCCTTTATTCAAAGGAATATTTATATGAAGGCTTGTTTTTTTCAGGTTCTTTTTCATACTGCAATTATAGCACTTTGGTTCTCTCCAGTAGAATCCTGGGATTTGTCGATTTTTTAAAAACATTTAATTTCTTTGCCAAAAGAATCATAGTGCCTCATGGAACTGCAAATGCCAGGATTCCATAGGATGCATCTATGACAGTCAAAAGTTATCAAATTGCAACATGGTAGTAGACCCTCAGTATCTATTGAAGTTTAGTTCCAGCCTCTTCTGTGGATACCAAAATACATGGATGCTCCCGTGTCGTCATATACAATAGTGTGAATAAAATGGTATCCACTTTCCTAAATAATAAGACAGGAGCCTAATAATAATAATAATAATAATAACAATAATAATAATAGGAACTCTGATTCTGGCAACCCAAGAACAAGCCATTCGAACCAATGCAATCAAAGCCAGAATTGAAAAGTCGACATCAGATCCCAAATGTAGACTCTGCAAGGAAGCAGATGAAACAATAGATCACATCCTCAGCTGCTGCAAGAAGATCGTGGAGACAGACTACAAGCAGAGGCATAGCACCGTTGCTCAGATGATTCATTGGAACTTGTGCCACAAATACCATCTGTCTGCGACAAAGAAATGATGGGATCACAAACCGGAAAAAGTTACAGAGAATGAGCACGCCAAACTCCTCTGGGACTTCTGGATTCAGACTGACAGAGTTTTGGAGCACAATACTCCTGACCTCACAATTGTGTTAAAAAACAAAGTATGGATTGTCGATGTTGCAATCCCATGTGACAGCAGGGTTGAAGAGAAGCAACTGGAAAAGCTGACACAATATGAGGATTTAAAGATCGAACAGCAAAGACTCTGGCACAAGTCAGGAAAGGTGGTCCCAGTGGTGATCGGCACACTGGGTGCAGTGCCTAAAGACCTTGGCCTGCACTTAAACACAATCGGCACAGACAAAATTACTATCTGCTCTCCCCTCACCACTTGGACTCTCAGAAACAGCTCTCCCCTTGGCTGTGAGGCCGGCCAATCACTGCAGGAAGAGGCCTTTTGGTAGGATTCACCATCTATTTCCAAAAAGGAAGAGAAGGATAAGCGGAGAGATATTCAGCCTTCTTTTCTAAAGGGGTTCCTAAGACCATCAGAAATATTTATTTTATTTGGTGGCCCCTCTGAAACCTCCCTCACAAGCCCCCCAGGGGTCCCGACCCCCAGGTTGAGAAACTCTGCCCTAAGGCATGACCTTTGGAGCCCATATCTGCTACTCACTCAGTATTGCTTCTCTTTGTTGTAGTTTTGTTTAGCAACTACCTTGAGACCAAAAAACGTAACTGAAACCTTTTTCAAAGAAGAAAAACAGACTGTGGTCACAAGGAGAATATTTTTAACAATGAACTCAAAGAGTGGTAAATACTTTTGCGGTAGACTGCAAGGAGGATAGATGATAGATGATAGATAGATGATAGATAGATAGATAGATAGATAGATAGATAGATAGATAGATAGATAGATAGATGAGTCAGGGGCAGACCAAACAGTTGCATTGCATTTTTTTTTTTACAAACAAACAAACAAAACACAAAGTTTGCAAGCTTGGTAGTCGATTGAATGTCCTTTGACCAGTATCTGGCCACTTGGAGTGCCTCTGGTGTTGCCGCAAGGAGGTCCTCCATTGTTCATGTGGCAGGGCTGAGGTTGCATTGCAGCAGGTGGTCTGTGGTTTGCTCTTCTCCACACTTGCATGTCGCGGATTCCACTTTGTAGCCCTATTTCTTAAGGTTGGCTCTGCATCTCATCGTGCCAGAGCACAGTCTGTTCCATGCCTTCCAAGTCGTCCAGTCTTCTGTGTGCCCAGGGGGGAGTCTCTCATTTGGTATCAGCTATTGATTGAGGTTCTGGGTTTGAGCCTGCCACTTTTGGACTCTTGCTTGCTGAGGTGTTCCAGCGCGTGTCTCTGTAGATCTTAGAAAAACTATTTCTTGATTTAAGTTGTTGATGTGCTGGCTGATACCCAAACAGAGGATGGACCGGAGATGTCACTGCCTTGGTCCTTTCCCTATTGGTTGCTACTTCCCGGAGGATGTCAGGTGGTGCAATACCGGCAAAGCAGTGTAATTTCTACAGTGGTATAGGGCGCAGACACCCCGTGATGATGAGGCATGACTCATTAAGAGCCACATCTACTGTTTTAGCGTGATGAGATGTGTTCCACACTGGGCATGCATACTTACTTACTTAGTAACTTACTTACTTAATTAATTAGTGACTTACTTAGAAGTAACTTTATATATAAACTTCAAGATCCACCACTGGCTTGGAAATAAGGATCAGCCACTTTATGGATGGGGTTTTGTTGAATTTCCATGACTTGAAAGTGTATAAGGAGGACCAAGGTAATGAAGAACATTCCATGCGTGAGAACAGATTTCTTTATGTGTCCTGGCTTCAGCACACTCACAGAATAAGTGAGGAAAAAGGAATTATTAGCTCATAGTTCTGAGATATCTCAAAAGAAAACAATGTCAACAGGCCTTGGAGGGAAGAGTCCTTGTGCGTGGGATTCCATTTGGCAAAAGCTTAATAATAGCCATTTCTGATCTGGGGAAACCAGCAGCACTATCAGGCAGCCTAGGATTTATGAATCCCTCAAGGTCAGCAAACAGTCCAGAAGTCAGAGTCGCAAAAATCACATAACATGAATGCAGGCCAGAAAGTAAATAAGTTACAACCCACAAAGTAAACAAGCTGCTGTGAGTTTTCCAGGCTGTATGGCTCACAGCAACCCGGTGATTCTGGCTATGAAATCCTTCGACAACACAGTAAACAAGTTGTTTACAGAGCTGGCTGGAGGATTCTGAGACTTGTAGTTCGAAAAAGAACTTTCCCAGGTTTTGATCTGAGGTTATTCTGCAACTCTAAAAGACAGATTGATTCAGTGCTACAGGATATCTTCTCTTAGAAGTGCTGGAGAGATCTCTGAACCGTAAGCTTTCTCAGTCATGGCCAGACAATAGAGATTTGTTAATATAAGGGCAACAACAACTACAAAACTTTATTTATATATCGCTCTGTCTCCCCGAGTAAACAACATAAACATACAATTAACAAAGCAATAAAAACATAAAAAATCACATTAGCACATATATATTTAAAATAATCTTGCCTGTTCAGTCAATTTGAAAGTCCGGGCCGACGCATGTGCAATTTCTAGAGGGCCCGGGAAATTAGGGGCAATGCTATAGCAGGCAACAACATTAATAGGTATAGTCTATATCTGTTCATTTCCAGGGCCTAATAGGAGCAAGTGACCTGGGTAATTGTTAGAAAAAGATATGGCCATATTCAACAATATCTGGGGCTGAGCTAGAACTAGTCGTTCTCAAAGGCTTGTTTAAACCACCAGGTCCTCAAGCTCTTACTGTAGTGGCAGATGGGAGAGATAATACCAAGAGCGATCCTTTCTGAAAAGCAGAAAAGTATGTTTATTTTCAGCTGAGACTCTGGCGTGGAATTACGTCCAAAAGCCAACCAGAGTAAAATAAAGGCATTGACTTTCCCTTTTATATATCTTTAAATGCAGACAAACAAAGAAACTTGCTTCTACGTACGTTAACATCATCACTACGTACGTCACCTTAGCATCATAGAAATATCAAATTATATCAAATTATATCTTCCAACATGCAAAGGGCATGCCTCAGTATTTTTTTTCTAAAGAGCAGCTTACATCCAACAGGAGACTACTTTTGACCTGTCAGGAGGGAGGGAGATAAACTCCTTACTGTTTACTTATATCTGTTGGTACCAGAACTTTCTTATCTCCCCTCACTGGAATGTTCACACCCCCCCCCCCCCTTGCCTGTGCCTTGGACACAGATCCTTCAGCATCCCTTTTGTCCTGTCAGCTAGGCTTCCTAATACAGAGAGGACTTGGTTTTTTCTATATTTCAGTTCTCCTAATATATATACAATATATATATAAATATCTATATTCCCAGTATCGCCATATAATTACGAAAGAAGGGGAGGGGTGTGGCCTGTCTTATTTATCTAGGAAGGGTGTTCCAGAGTTGGGGGCCACCACCGAGAAGGCCATCCCTCTCATCCCCACCAACCATGCTTGTGACAGCAATGGGAGCAAAAGGAGGTCCTCCCCAGAAGATCTTAAAGTTCGTGCCGGTTCATAGAGGGATATGCGATCGCGAAGGTAGGTGTGGCCCGAACCGGGCACTCAAGATGTAATTTTTACAGTGAATATCCACGTTGCGCAACTGTTGCCGTTGGATGCCACATTCCCTGTCATTTCTCCAACCCATGGAATTCAGGGATTTGCAGGTAACAGGGGCGGCTCAACCCATTACGCAAAGTAAGCATTTGCAGTATAGTTTATTTTGCCCTGGGGGCACTCTTGAGGCGCTCTTGGGGGAAAATAGACCTTGACATATGCGAGTTGTAGTTACTGGGATGTATAGTTCACCTACAATCAAAGAGCATTCTGAACTCCCCCAATGATGGAATTGAACCAAATATGGCACACAGAACTCACACGACGAACAGAAAATATATATCAGTGATTGGTTGAGTGGGGGGTTGCCAAAATACTGTTTGCTTACAGTTGAAAATTACCTAGGGCCACCTCTGGCAGTTAAAGAGGCAGGATTAGATCAAAGCTTTCTGAACTGTGTGTCACAACATATTCGAGTGACTGCTGCAGTGTGCAAATGTTTTGCATACATGTAACAAGGAACATCTGAGTCTATGTGAAATAAACAAGGAATCGTGTATTTTAAATTTATATAAATGAAAAGATTTAATCAGATATGTTGTGCCATACATGTATTATTACAATCAATGTATGTGTCTGTATCTCTTATAAGAGGTTGGTTTAACCTCCGGTTTGCTAGGAAACTGAATTACTGTGTCACGACATGATGCATGTCTAAAATACGCGTCACCGACTTGAAATGTTTGTTGCATGTTGAAGATTAAGCCTTTTTAGTATCTTTCTAATTTGAAATATACATATTTTTAAAAGAGGGAAAGGTTAAGAAGAAAAACATCGTAATACCCTAACCCTGCCCCAGTTGAGTTTTCTAAGAATGGGTTTTCCCCCCAAGGAGTAAAAAGCATCAGCATGTGGTTTCACTACATCCGGCTGCACTACCCCACCTGAGTGGCTTGTCAAACTGTCCTGGCATTTTAGGAGAATCAGCAGACTGTGCTTGGAGGCATCGCTTTGATAGAAGGACACACTTTGACAATGAAGAAGTCTTGGGTGTTATGCGTCCCTCTGGCAGTCTTTTGGGGAGCCATTCTTGGAGCAGGTATGTGGTACCTTTTCAGGTGAAGCAAAGCTAACATTTGTTAATGAAATAGTCATGTATGCTGCAGAAAAGAAAAAAAAGAATGATCTGGCAGCACATATTGATTGATACTTTATTATATGCTTGCCTGGGTATCCATCCAGTTTCTCAGGTTTGCTAATAAAGGCTAAGTTTTTATGGCTGTTATGGGAGTGGGATAGAATGTAATAGGAGACAGAAAGGTGGAAATTGTGACCCCAGCCATAAATTTGCAAATATCTTCCAAGTACATGGTCCCCCTTTAAAGTGGCTGAGGCTGGATCTACACTGCCATATAATACAGATTATCATCTTTAAACTGGATTATATGAGTCTACACTGCCATATAATCCAGTTCCAAGCAGATAATCCGGATTTAACATGGCAGTGTAGATGGGGTTATATGGAAGCAATCATTCTGAGGACCAAATGTAAGATCCTTTCTATACTACCATATAATCCAGATTATAAAAGTAAATAATCCAGTTTATCTGCTTGGACCTGGATTACATGAGTCTACACTGCTATATAATCCAGTGCAAAGCAAATAATCTTTATTTCATATGGCAGTGTAGATGGGGCTAGTGTGGAAGCAATCATTCCACAAAGTAAGACCCCTTCTACACTGCCATATAATCCAGATTATCAAAGTAGATAATCCAGTTTATCTGCTTGGACCTGGATTACATGTGTCTACACTGCTACATAATCCAGTGCAAAGCAGATAATTTGGATTTCATATGGCAGTGTAGATGGGGCTAGTGTGGAAGCAATAATTCCACAAAGTAAGACCCCTTCTACACTGTCATATAATCCAGATTATCAAAGGAGATAATCCAGCAGACCTCTGAAGAAGCTTGCCATAGATGCAGGCGAAACATCAGGAGAAATGCCTCTAGAACATGGCCATATAGCCCGAAAAAACCCACAAGAACTGAGAGATAATCCCGTTTATCTGCTTGGACCTGGATTACATGTGTCTACACTGCCGTATAATCCAGTTCAAAGCAGATAATCTGGATTTCACATGGCAGTATAGATGGGGCTATTGTGGAAACAATCATTCTGACAACCAAAACTAAAACCTCTTCTGCAATATAATCCAGTGCAAAGCAAATAATCTGGATTTCATATGGCAAGTTCATCGTTTGTTTTTTACTAGGAGACCTCAGAAGGATTTCTGAGATAAAATCTTGTTTCTGTCCCTCAAAAATACTCTGAAATAAAGCCATGACCACATCAACATTTTTAACAAATATGTTGAAGTATTAATTACAGGATTATAACTAATGATGAAGTATACATTTTGCTCTCTATGGTTTCTTCTACTGTATTCTTTTCTACTGTTCTCCAGATGTGTTATTCTGCAGTCTCCCCATCCCAAGCCAATATGGGGTTAATGGGCATTGCAATTCAATGCATTTGGAGGACAGGGGAGATTCAGTATGAGCCCTTTTGGTGCTTCCCAGATCAGAATTTCTGAAGTGGGTTTCTTCCATTTGAAATGCAAACTATAGGAAGGAATCCAGCACGCCTGTCATCCTCTGACACCAATTTTGTTGTAATCCAATTCTTAATTCTGGACAAGGGATAACCCCAGGTGATGCAGTGGGTTAAACCGCTGAGCATTACTGACCGAAAGGTCGCAGGTTTGAATCTGGGAAGTGGTTTGAGCTCCCGCTGTTAGCCCCAGCTTCTGCCAACCTAGCAGTTTGAAAACATGCAAATATGAGTAGATCAATAGGAACCGCTCTGGCGAGAAGGTAATAGTGTTCCGTGCAGTCATGCCCACCACATGACCTTGGAGGTGTCTCCGGACAATGCCGGCTCTTTGGCTTAGAAATGGAGATGAGCACCACCCCCCAGAGTTGGACACGACTGCACTTAATGTCAGGGGAAAACCTTTACCTAACTCAGGAACTAAAATTGTGATTCATAGTGTAATGCTTTGGCTATCCTGCAGTGTTCTGTTCAATTAGATCAGGGGTCCTCAAACTTTTTAAACAGAGGGCCAGTTCACAGTCCCTCAAACTGTTGGAGGGCCAGATTATAATTTGGAAAAAGCATGAATGAATTCCTATGCACACTGCACATATCTTATTTGTAGTGCAAAAAACACTTAAAAACAATACAATAATTAAAATGAAAAACAATCTTTAAAAAATATAAACTTATTAGTATTTCAGTGGGCCTGCTTTTTGCTGGGCCTGCTTTTGAATGATGAGATTTTTTTTTTTTTGTCGTGTCAGGAGCGACTTGAGAAAATGCAAGTCGCTTCTGGTGTGAGAGAATTGGCCGTCTGCAAGGACGTTGTCCAGGGGACGCCCGGATGATTTGATGTTTTTATCATCCTTGTGGGAGGCTTCTCTCATGTCCCCGCATGAGGAGCTGGAGTTGATAGAGGGAGCTCATCCGCCTCTCCCCGGATTCGAACCTGCGACCTGTCGGTCTTCTGTCCTGCCGGCACAGGGGTTTAACCCACTGCGCTACTGGAGGCTCTGGCTGATGAGATAGGATTGTTGTTGTTGTTGTTGTTGTTGTGTGCTTTCAAGTCAGTTCAGACTTAGGTTGACTCTGAGCGAGAGCCGGGTAAATGACCTTGGAGGGCTGTATCCGGCCCTCAGCCTTAGTTTGAGGACCCCTGAATTAGATGTTTATGTTATGGAAGTAAAGAAAGATCACACACATGTTTTGCCTGCAGAAGACTGCAGGCTTATTCTTGGGCATCTCAATGTCAACATGATTTGTATTAGCAGAACTGGGACAGTTCTCTGCCTGAGAAGCTGGAAAGCTGTACGCAGCTGAACAGAGAATATTCCTCTACTACGTGGACCAATGGTCTTCTCTCAAGACAACTTCAAATGTTAATATGTTTTAATATAACCCAATGATCTGCACTGAAATATAATCACCTGAACTGAGAATGCCACCTGGAAGACCTTGGGTTTCAGTTTCCTTTCTAGCAACCTAAATTTGGCTTTTCGTGTCTTTCACCTGCAAATCTCAAATGACAAATGACTCAGTCAATATTTTTCACATTGGCTGGTTATAGCACTTTGATATTACTTTGTCATTGCTGCATCTGAATGAATCTTGGGATTTGTAGTTTTCACCAGGCACTAGACCCCTTTGGCAGAGAATTCTAAATCACAAAACCATACAATTTTAGAATTAAAGACAAACTGTAAAACTACCTATCCCAACCCCCTTCCATGTAGGAACACACAACTAAAGCACTCCTGAAAGATGCGCATCAACTCCCAACAAAAGGAAAGTCCACCATCCTCTAAGTCAGTCTTTCCCACTGTGTTCCCAGTGATTTTTTTCATAATGTTTTGAAGCATGAGGTTAGAACAGACCACAAGGCCATCTAGTCTGACTCCATTCTGCCATGCAGGAGCACACAATCAAAGCTTTCCCAATAGATGGCAATTTAGACTCAGTTTAAAATACTCCAGAGAAGGAGCCGCCACACTCAGAGGTGCATATTTCACTGTTAAACATTTTTTACTGTCAGGAAGTTATTCCTATTTTTAGGTGGAAACTCTTTTGCTATAAGTGAACTACAACTCCAAAACCAAAGGGCACTACCCACCAAACCCTTCCAGTATTTTCTGTTGCTCAAGGGAGAACTGTGTGCCAAGTTTGGTTCAGTTCCATCGTTGGTGGGGTTCAGAATGCTCTTTGATTGTAGGCAAACTATAAATCCCAGCAGCTACAACTCCCAAATGACAAAATCATTTTTTTGAGTGAAGGACATACATTGGGTTGTTAGGTGACTTGTGTCCAAATTTGGTGTCAATTCATCCAGTGGTTTTTGAGTTCTGTTAATCCCACAAACGAACATTTCATTACATAACAATAACTATATGTATTCCCATCCTATGATGCCAAACAAGTTGATTTTATTTTCCTCTCTCAACATGGTTCCCCACCCTCTTGTTTCAAGCTTTTTATGGGCTGGATCAAGATCACGACCATGAGAAGGTTCTGGTTGATAACAAGTGCCAATGTGTCAAGGTGACATCGAAATTTGTCGCATCGAAAGACAATCCTGACAATGAAGTCTTGGTGAGAAATATCCGAATTGTGTAAGTGCAACCTTGTATTCCCCCTTTCCTTGTGAAACTGGCAAAGATCTGGGGAGAAGGGAGATGTTCTGTCTTTATTTGGGAAATAAGTGTTGTCCCCCTCTTTTATGCACGCTTTCTGCATCCGGCATGGGCAAACTTTAGCCCTCCAGGTATTTTGGACTTCAGCTCCTAACTTCCTAACAGCTGTTAGGAATTGTGGGAGTTGAAGTCCAAAACACCTGGAGGGCTGAAGATTGCTCATACCTGCTCTAGAGCAAAAGAAGTAAAGGCTAGCAAGACCCAGGTTAAGGGATGGCAACTGCAATGAGGGAAGAGTCATTTCACTGCTTGACTTATCTATGAACTTGGTGCAATCCAGAGTCACTTCTGGTTCAACCTAAAGTGACATCACTAGATTACTCACTGGAGCATCATACAGGGCTGTTATGTTAGCTCCACTGGCTGCTGGTCCAATTTCAAGCACAATTCAAAATGCTGGTTTTGACCTATAAAGTCCTATACAGCTCCGGCCCAGCTTACCTGTCCGAACGTATTTCCCTCTATGTCCCACCTCGAAGTTTAAGATCTTCTGGGGGGGCTCTGCTCTCGTCCCCACCTTTGGTGCAAACACACCTGGCAGGGATGAGGGACAGGGCCTTCTCAGTGGTGGCCCCCCACACGTGGAACTCGCTCCCCAGCGAAATCAGGTCAACAACATCCCTCCTCGCCTTCAGGAGGAAATTGAAAACGATGTTATGGGACCAAGCCTTTGAGTAGCTGGCAGATAACTGACAATGAAAATGATGATAATGTTATGGAAAATGGACTGTGGATAGGCTTCCAATTGTGTTGTGCTCTCTGCATTTGTGTCTACATAAGGCTAGACAGCCAGTATTATTGTACTTTTTATTAAACTCATTTTTAAATTAATCTTACTGTATAATTTATATGTAATTATTGAATGTATTATTTATATGTAATGGCATCAAAATGTGCTGGACGTAAGCCGCCCTGAGCACACACACACACGCACGCACCCCGGGGGGGGGGGGGTTGAGAAGGATGGGGTACAAATGTTTGAAATAAATAAATAATAAAATCACTTCAAGTTTTGGGATTCAAGGGGCGAGCTCCAGTTTGTTAGCTCCAGCTTCCCATGCAGGATTTCCCATTCCATGGGATGGTAAAACATCCAGGGGTCCCTTGGACAACGTCCCTGCAGACAGCCAATTCTCTCACACCAGAAGCAACTTGCAGTTTCTCAAGTTGCTCCTGACACAAAAAATATCCCTACAAATAGCTAAATCTTCATAGTTTTAAATAAAGGATTCTAGGGATTGTGGAGAAGAGTTGGAAGCAGGGAAGAGAATCAAACTGAATTGTGAGTTCTTTGACAAGTGATTATTCCCTCCGCCCCCCAAAAAATAAGTTAAAATTTCCCCTGTCATTTCAGGAGGGTCTGTGGCCTTTGGGGGCTTGGTAGGGCCATACATTACTAATGGCCAAAATGTATGAGAGAGTAAGATAACCCACCTGGTAGTTAGCTGTATAGCCCCTTTATTTGGATCAGCTATGGTAGAATGGCAGAATAGAAGCATGACAAAAGAGGGCTTCCAACTAGTTGTGAATTTTGGCCTGGAGAAGAAAAATTGTCAATAGGATGGTGCTGAATGAAAGAGAGGAACTCAAGAGTAATCCAGTTTACCTGTCCAAACATATCTCCCTCTATGAACCATCACAGAGGTTAAGATCTTCTTGGGAGGCATTGCTCTTGGACCCACCTGCTTCGCAAGTGCACTTGGTGGGGAGAAGAGACAGGGCCTTCTCAGTGGTGGCTCCTCAGCTCTGGAACTCTCTCCCCAGTGAGATTAGATCAGCGCCCTCCCTCCTGGTCTTTAGAAAGGCATGGTTATGGAACCAAGCTTTTGACTACAAGAAGTACAAGAAGTAAATATGCAATCGACATTTGGCCCGGTCTATGAGTTTGGATCATGTGATTTTAATGTTTTTATTAGGTCATTTTAATTTTTTATGTTTTCATGTCTAAATGTTGTTTTATCTTGAGGTTAATTGTCTTAATGAATTTTTGCGTAGTTATAAGTTTTGTTTACATTTATGATTTTGGGTTTTTTAATGCATTTGATGCATTGAATTTTACCATTATTTGTTGTAAACAGCTTTGAGTCCCCCCAAGGGTGAGAAAAGCAGTATGTAAATACAGTAAATAAATAAATAATATTGCCCCACCAATTGTAGCCATTAGTATTTAGTCATTACCTTGCTGATATTTTCATTCTTGCTAGCATTTAACCCATTCCCTGTTGTACTGCATGCACGTCACTGCCATGTAGACTGTTTACGGAGTGAACTTCTGTAAACAGTGAAGTTTCTAACATATTGCACCCGAATGAACTGGTTTGTTGCATCGTTCTTCCTTTTTCTTCTTCTTTGCCTTCTCCAGAGTGCCCCTCACAGCCAGGGAGAACATCTCCGATCCCACCTCACCAGTGAGAACCAAATTTGTCTACAGGCTCTCCAAACTGTAAGGATGCCATTTCATTATACTTGGGTCCATAAGGCTAAAGTGAAAAGTATTGCGAGCTGATCTTTGTGCTCAAGTGTTGTCACATTATTCTCCATTCAAACAATCCTTTGAAAGTGGCAGATGGGTGGCTGGTGACTCCAGCATCAGATCTATGTGTCCGTTTTGGGATTAAGGAGCTATCTGAATCTGTTTGAGGGATTTGGATCTACATCTTGGACAGCCCTTTTCTAAATTTTAGAGGAAAACTTTCTGTATAACTTTCTCATTGATACTGAATATCCAACAGCCATTATGAATAAGAAAGACTCAGTGTAACACATAGGGATGAAGCCATATAACAGTGTTTATCAACCTGGGGGGTCGAGAGGGGGTGTCAGTGGGATCGCCAAAGACCATCAGAAAATGCAGTATTTTCTGTTGGTCATGGGAGTTCTGTGTGGGAAGTCTGACCCAATTCTATCATTAGTGGGGTTCAGAAAAATCTTTGATTGTAGGTGCACTATATGTCCCAGCAACTACAACTCCTTAAATGTCAAGGACTATTTTCTCCAAACTCCACCAGTGTTCACATTTGGGCATATTGAGTATTCGTGTAGAGTTTGGTCCAGATCCATCACTGTTTGAGTCCACAGTGCTCTCTGGATGTAAGTGAACTACAACTCCAAAACTCAAGGTCAATGCCTACCAAACTCTTCCAGCATTTTCTGTTGGTCATTGGAGTTATGTGTGCCAAGGTTGGTTCAATTCCATCATTGGTGGAGTTCAGAATGCTCTTTGATTGTAGGTGAACTATAAATCCCAGCAACTACAACTCCCAAATGACAAAATCAATCCTCAAGATGGCTCCACCACCTCCCAACAAAAGATTCCTCCAGACAGGAAGCAGCCAGGAATTGAAGCTGCAAAGCTATTCAATGCAAATCAAGATGGTCAACTGCAACATTCACATTTGCCTCAAACAGACAAGAGTTCTTTCTCCCACTCTGGACATTATTCCAGAGATATATAAACCTCACTTGCCTAGTTACCAACAGACCTCACAACCTCTGAGGATGCCTGCCATAGATGTGGGCAAAACGTCAGGAGAGAATACTTCTGGAACTTGGCCATACAGCTCAGAAAACTCACAGCATCCCAGTGATTTCAGCCATTTATTTTGTTACTGTATTTTCTTTTGCTGTATTGTATCTTTGGGCTTGGCCTCATGCCCCGAGTCCCCTTTGGGGAAATGGTGGTGGGGTACAAATAAAGCTGATGATGATGATGATTATTATTATTATTATTTGAAACACCACAAGATGAGTCCGCAGCAGACATTCTGCTGGCTGTTGTATTGGATCACACATCGGACACTTCCCAAGTGTCTAGGACTGTGTGATGTATCGGCGAATAATGCATGCAGATCCCAGTAAGGTGGCCTTCTGCAGCTGGCAGATAGTAATTTTGTCAGTGCCGATTGTATTTAAGTGCAGGCCAAGGTCTTTAGGCACTGCACCCAGTGTGCCAATCATCACTGGAACCACCTTTACTGGTTTGTGCCACAGTCTTTGCAGTTCGATCTTTAAATTCTCATATCTTGTCAGCTTTTCCTGTTGTTTCTCTGCAATCCTGCTGTCACCTGGGATTGCGACATCGACGATCCATACTTTGTTTTTTAACACGATCGTGAGGTCAGGAGTATTGTGCTCCAAAACTCTGTCTGTCTGAATCCAGAAGTCCCAGAGGAGTTTGGCGTGTTCATTCTCTGTAACTTTTTCCAGCTTGTGATCCCACCAGTTTTTTGCAGGCAGATGGTATTTGTGGCACAAGTTCCAATGAATCATCTGAGCAACGGTGTTGTGCCTCTGCTTGTAGTCTGTCTGCGCAATCTTCTTGACAGACTACAAGCTGTCAACCGATCTTCTTGCAGCAGCTGAGGATGTGATCTATTGTTTCATTTGCTTCTTTGCAGAGTCTACATTTGGGATCTGTTGTCCACTTTCAATTCTGGCTTTGATGGTATTGGTTTGAATGGCTTGTTCTTGGCCTGCCAGAATCAGAGTTCCTATTATTATTATTATTATTATTATTATTATTATTATTATTATTATTATTCACGAACCCCAAAATCTACTGCTTGAGGCAAATGCCTCACTCTGTCTAATTGAATGACAAATACTATAAGGCAGTGGTTTTCAACCTGTGGGTCCCCAGATGTTTTGGCCTTCAACTCCCAGAAATCCTAAGAGCTGGAAAACTGGCTGGGATTTCTGGGAGTTGTAGGCCACAGGTTGACAACCACTGCTGTAAGGAATGGATGGATGAGCACATCAAGGAAGAAGCAAACAACCCAAATCAGAATGCAATATTCAAGATAGTTGCAAGTGCTGTTTGGTTTAGGTCTACTGACTAACACTCTGCTATCTGACTGTTTTCCAGGTGTGGCAATTGTCACTCAGGTGACAATCCAGAGAAGGGCCGGAGGGTCGGGGAGAGTGGCCTATGCAATGACCCACAGGAACCCTGCTACACCTATGACAGGAATAAATGCTACACCGCACCATGTCTGTTCAACAACGGTGGGAAAACACAGACCATTGAGACAGCCTTGACCCCGGAATCCTGCTATGATGATTAGAGCCAAACCATCCTCATACAAGACCAGTCAGATTCGTGTCACTTTTACACAAGTTCTGGCTAAATCCAAATAATCCTGGAATTCACAATTTGGTGATAAATATCGAGAATTCACTGTTGCAAACCTTGAATATTGGGTTGTTGTAGGTTTTTTCGGGCTATATGGCCATGTTCTAGAGGCATTCTCTCCTGACGTTTTGCCTGCATCTATGGTAAGCATCCTCAGAGGTAGTGAGGATTTTTTTTGGGTTGTTCTACATTTTTTGGGCTATATGGCCATGTTCTAGAGGCATTCTCTCCTGACGTTTCACCTGCATCTATGGCAAGTATCCTAAGAGGTAGTGAGGTCTGTTGGAACTAGGAAAGAGAGTTTATATATCTGTGGAATGACCAGGGTAGGACAAAGGACTCTTGTCTGTTGGAGCTAGGTGTGAATGTTTCAACTGATCACCTTGATTAGCATTTGATTGCCTGGCAGTGCCTGGAGCAATCTTTTGTTGAGAGGTATTTAGATGTCCTTGTTTGTTTCCTCTCTGTTTCCAGGCAATCAAATGCTAATCAAGGTGATCAGTTCCAACAGACCTCACTACCTCTGAGGATGCTTGCCGTAGATGCAGGTGAAACGTCAGGAGAAAATGCCTTTAGAACATGGCCATATAGCCCGAAAAACCTACAACAACCCAATGATTCCAGCCATGAAAGCCTTTGATATTTTTTTGTCGTGTCAGGAGCAACTTGAGAAACTGCAAGTTGCTTCTGGTGTGAGAGAATTGGCTGTCTGCAAGGACGTTGCCCAGGGGACGCCAGGATGATTTAATGTTTTTATCATCCTTCTGGGAGGCTTCTCTCATGTCCCCACATGAGAAGCTGGAGCTGATAGGGGGAGCTCATCCGCCTCTCTCTAGATTCGAACCGGCAACCTGTTGGTCTTCAGTCCTGCTGGCACAGGGGTTTAACCCTCTGCGCCACCAGGGGCTCCAGTGAGGATGCTTGCCATAGATGCAGGCGAAACATCAGGAGAGAATGCCTCTAGAACATGGCCATATAGTTAAAAACCTACAACAACTCAGTGATTCCGGCCATGAAAGCCTTCGACAATACCTTGAATATTCTTTACAAGGATAAGAGAATTAATTGCTACGTATTGACCTACATATATGAGGATTAATTTCGATGTTTTGACCCTCCTATGCTTAAAGTAAATAAATCTTTGGATGCATCAGCAGAATGTTTTGCCTTTTATTCATTTCTCATCCCAACTCTCTATAAAACTGTGCCTTTCCCATCTGCATTATTTACACCTTATGCAAAGTACCTGCTCTCAATAAATAAATCTGTGTGCAACTTTCATGATTCCTTCACTCTTTTCATTGGGACTGAAAACTACAAATCGGAGGATGTGTGTGGGTTCTCCCGCGGATATGGAACTGACCATAGTTTACTTACTTACTTAACTTTACTTACATAGCCTGAGGATGATGTTCCTCCAAGTGTAGTGTCTTGGTGGTGGATCCGTAGGTGTCTGTGGAGCCCTATTCTTGATCCGCATGTTCTCCCGCAGTGAGGACATTAAAACACATAAAATTCCAAATAAAATAAAATAAGATTGAATTCTGCAGCACTGCTGGTCACAGCTGACCTCCAGTCAGAGCGCTCAAGAACCAGGGCTGGCCAGCGTTTATTTATTTATTTATTTATTTATTTATTTATTTATTTATTATTCTATTTATACTCCGCCTTTATGTACCCCAAAGGCGACTCAAAACTGGTCACAGCTGACCTCCAGTTAGAGTGCTCAAGAGCCAGGGCTTCCCAGGACTGGCCAATGTTTATTATTTATTTATTTATTCTATTTATACCCCGCCTTTATGTACCCCGAAGGCGACTCAAGGCAGCTTACATAGAGGCAATTATTCAATGTCTTAAAAACACATAACATTCCAAATAAAATAAAATAAAATAAGATTGAATTCTGCAGCACTGCTGGTCGCAGCTGACCTCCAGTTAGAGCACTCAAGAGCCAGGGCTTCTCAGGGCTGGCCAGTGTTTATTTATTTTTCTTTATTTATTTTATTTACACCCCGCCTTTATGTACCCTGAAGACGACTCAAGGTGGCTTACATAGAGGCAGTTATTCAATGTCTTAAAAACACATAAAATTCCAATAAAATAAAATAAAGTAATTCTCCATTGCGCCCTTTGAATTCTGCAGCACTGCTGGTCACAGCTGACCTCCATTAGAGTGCTCAAGAGCCAGGGTTTCCCAGGGCTGGCCAGTGTTTATTATTTATTTATTTATTCTATTTATACCCTACCTTTATGTACCCCAAAGGCGACTCAAGGCGGCTTACATAGAGGCAATTATTCAGTGTCTTAAAAACACATAAAATTCCAAAATAAAATAAAATAAATTAGATTAAAATTTTAAAACATTCCATTTTATATTAAAATCACGCCCTCTATAATCATAAGTAACTAGCTGCAACTATAATTACAAGGAACTAGTAACTCTAGTTATAAGTAACTAGTTGCATTTCTGAGGAGTAAAATAACATCAACAAACTAGTGTGAGGTCCTGCAGCCTCTTTTACCACTCAGGTGGGATGATACTTGGTTCCCTTTATACCAGGCATGGGCAAACTTTGGCCCTCCAGGCAGGCATGTAGCCGGGGGGGGGGGGGGGGCTTATGGTGGTTCGCGAAAAGGCCTTACTGGTGCATTATTTAAACTGTTATGTTTATTCATATCATGAACTGATCACCATACTCAATATATCCCATATGCATGGGGGTATTGGGGTAACTATACAGAAGGTTTGCTAGGCTAGACCCTCTTTCACTCAGATTCAGCCCCCCCCCCAAACAAAATCCTGGCTACGGGCCTTCCTCCAGGTGTTTCGGACTTCAACTCCCACAATTCCTAACAGCTTGGGGGGCAGAGTCTGCTTAGGACTGGAGAGAATTGGCCGTCTGCAAGGACGTTGCCCAGGGGACGCCCGGATGATTTCTGATGTATTGTCATCCTTGTGGGAGGCTTCTCTCATGTCCCGCATGAGGAGCTGGAGCTGATAGAGGGAGTCATCCGCCTCTCCCTGGATTCGAACCTGCGACCTGTTGGTCTTCAGTGCTGCCAGCACAGGGGTTTAATTTTATTTATTTATTACAGTCGCTTATACCCCGCCCTTCTCACCCCGAGGGGGACTCAGGGCTGCTTACACAACAAGGCACAATTCGATGCCCGCATTACATGACAACAAAAACATAACATCAATAACAATAGCAATTATAGCAATGATAACAATTAACATAAGCAGTCATTATTATCGGCGACACATCCAAAAAACCCATAAAGTAAAAACAATTAAAACAATTAAAACAGTAAAAGCAATACAAACCTCATTGCTGGACAGCGTTTAACAGACTCATAGTTAGGTTCTACTTTCCGCACATTGTCAGTCCTATCCATCTGGATTCCATATCTAATTGTCAGGACGCCCAAAGGCCTGGCCCCATAGCCACATCTTTACCTTCCTCCTGAAGGCAAGGAGGGATGTTGATGTCCTGATTTCCCCCGGGAGTGAGTTCCACAGGTGGGGGGCCACCACTGAGAAGGCCCTGCTCCTCGTCCCCACCAGCCTCACTTGTGATAGCGGTGGGGTCGAGAGCAGGGCCTCCCCAGATGATCTCAAATTCCGGGGTGGGACGTAGAGGGAGATACGTTCGGACAGATACACTGGACCGGAACCGTAAAGGGTTTTGTAGGTCAAAACCAGCACCTTGAATTGTGCTCGGAACTGGATTGGCAGCCAGTGGAGCTGACACAACAAGGGAGTTGTGTGTTCCCTGTATGTCGCTCCGGTGAGCAGCCTGGCTGCCGCTCGTTGGACCAGTCGAAGTTTCCGAACAGTCTTCAAGGGCAACCCCACATAGAGTGCGTTGCAGTACTCTATACTGGATGTGACAAGAGCGTGGACCACTGTGGCCAGATCAGACTTCCCGAGGTACGGGCGCAGCTGGTGCACAAGTTTTAATTTAAACCACTGCGCCACCGGGGGCTCCTTGGGGGTCTGCTTAAAGGCGGAGTCTGCTTGGGGGCGGCTCAGTTTGGGGGGGGAGTAGGCTTGGGGGCGGAGCTATCATGGGGTGCCTCGTCCTGGGGGGCGGAGTCAGCTCGGATGTGGTGCCGTTTTGGGGGGCGGAGTCTGCTTGGAGGGCGAAGCCATCATTGGGGCGCCTCGGCTTGGGGGGCGGAGTCAATTCGGGGGCGGGGTCACTTTGAGGGCGGAGTCGAATTGGGGGCGGAGTCTGCTTATGGACGGAGCCGGCTTGGGGTCAGCTTGGGGGCGGAGTCAATTTGAGGGCGGAGTCGAATTGGGGGCGGAGCCATCTTGGGGCATCTCGGCTTGGGGGGTGGGTCTTTTTGGGGCGGAGTCTGCTTAGGGACAGAGTCGGCTGGGGGGTCAACTTGGGGGCGGAGTCGGGTTGGGGGCGGAGTCATCTTGGGGAAGCCTCTTCTTGGGAGGCGGAGTCAGCTCGGGGGCGGATCAGTTAGGGGGCGGGGCCTGATTGGGGGCGGAGTCAGCTTGGAGTCGGGTCAGTTTGGCGCGGAGTCATCTTGGGGGCGGAGTCATCTTGGGGAAGCCTCGTTTTGGGAGACGGAGTCAGCTCGGGGGCGGGTCAGTTTGGAGGCGGAGCCTGCTTGGGGGCGGAGTCATCTTGGAGTCGGGTCAGTTTGGCGCGAGTCCGCTTGGGGGCGGAGCCAGCGTTGCTACAACACTCCGCCACAGCGTTCTTTTGGGTTCCAGCGGCTGAAGAGTGCGGACGTGCTTCTTGGGCTCCCTGTAAGTGCGGCACGTGGGCTGGCCTGGCATCCCACCTCCTCCTCCTTTCCCTGCCCTGGGGCTAGACGTGGGGGCTAGCGGCCGAGGTTGGCGACGGGTTTTCCTAATCCCTATTCCCGCTGGCCCTTTGTTTTCCACAACCCGGAGAGCCTTTGAGCGGGAAGCTTGCAATTAATTAAGGTCCCAGATTCGAATTAACTCCTCAAAGGCAGTTGAGGACATACCACAGAGGCAGATGGAGTCACCCCTGGCCCTAGGAAAGGAGACCAAGAGATAACCTAGAATCCAAGAGTTGGAAGAGACCTCGTGGGCCATCCAGTCTAACCCCATTCTGCCAAGAAGCATTCAAAGCACCCCTGACAGATGGCCATCCAGCCTCTGCTTCAAAGCCTACAAAGAAGGAGCCTCCACCACACTCTGGAGCAGAGAGTTCCACTGCTGAACAACTCTCGCAGTCAGGAAGTTCTTCCTCATGTTCAGATGGAATCTCCTCTCTTGTAGTTTGAAGCCATTGTTCCATTGCGTCCTAGTCTCCAGGGAAGTAGTAAACAAGCTTGCTCCCTCCTCCCTGTGGCTTCCTCTCACATATTTATACATGGCTATCATATCCCCTCTCAGCCTTCTCTTCTTCAGGCTAAACATGCCCAGCTCCTTAAGCCGCTCCTCATAAGGCTTGTTCTCCAGACCTTTTATCATTTTAGTCGCTCTTCTCTGGACACATTCCAGCTTGTATCAATCCAATCGGCGTTAGTATTATCAATAATGGTATATCGTATCAATTGGTTTAGTCTTAGTTCTTAAGCAGACGTTGCTCTGACCACATGTACACAAAGACCTCAGTTGACTTGGATCGCACAGCAAAACTAGTTCCACATACATTACAATATTGCTCTATGAATATAGAAGTGTGGAACTACACAACCAGTCCAAAATGGCCGCCCCCTTTAAAGGCCGCATGGTTGGCCCCTGGGTGGGAAGGGGGCCCCAAAGGAAACATTGTTATGAATGACTTAGATTAAGGTTTAGAAGACATGATCATCCAGTTTGCAGATGACACCAAATTGGGAGGGAGAGCCAATACTCCACAAGAATTCAAAACAATCAACAGATTAGAGAGATGATTGGGCAAAACTAACAAAATGAAGTTCAACAGGGACAAATGCAAGGTACTCCACTTAGGCAGAAAAAAAAATGAAATGCAAAGATACAGAATGAGGGACGATTCCTGTACGTGTGAGAAAGATCTTGGAGTCCTTGTGGACAGGAAGGTGAACATGAGCCAGGAATGTGATGCGGTGGCAAAAAAAAAGCCAATGGGATTGTGGCCTGCATCAATAGGAGCATAGTGTCTAGATCCAGGGAAGTCCTGCTCCCCATGCTCTATTCTGCCTTGGTTAGACCACATCTGGAATATTGTGTCCTATTCTGGGCACCACAATTGAAAGATGTTCACAGGCTAGAATGTGTCCAGAGGAGGGCGACTAAAGTGATAAGGGTCTGGAGAACAAGCCCTATGAGGAGCGGCATGTTTAGCCTGAAGAAAAGAAGGCGAGGAGGAGGAGGGCCATGCAGGTGAAAGTGTATCTCTTATGCCAGGGGTGGGTGGTATGAGCACTCAGGAGGGGGAAAGAGAAGGCAAAATATGTGTAAGAGAGGGAGGGAAGGTGAGGAGGAGTGCTGTGCAGGGAAAACCACAAAACGAGTCCATGGTAAGCGAACCACGAAAGAGCGGTTGTTGTAGGTTTTTTCGGGCTATATGGCCATGGTCTAGAGGCATTCTCTCCTGACATTTCGCCTGCATCTATGGCAAGCATCCTCAGAGGTAGTGAGGTCTGTTGGAACTAGGAAAAAGGGTTTATATATCTGTGGAATGACCAGGGTGAGACAAAGGGCTCTTGTCTGCTGGAGCTAGGTGTGAATGTTTCAACTGACCACCTTGATTAGCATATAATGGCCTGACAGTGCCTGGAGCAAACTTTTGTTGAGAGGTGATTAGATTCTCATTGTTTGGCATCATTTGGAGGGAGTGCTTGCTTCCAGCCACAAGGGGGTGCTGATGCTCCATCTCCTTGCTGAAGAGCTTTCTTTGTTCGTAAACTTTTCTCTGAAATGCTGTGCCTAAAACACCTACTCACATTGCTGTTTTCGATACCTATTCATCTACTCACATTGCTGTTTTTGATCTACAAGATGGGTGGGGAGCTGGGCTGAAGGTCAGAAGCTCACTTTGACCTGGTTTTGAACTGTCACCAGTTTGGTTGGCAAGATTTACTGCAGCTGGTGATTGAAAACTGACCTTTTTATTTACTCATACAATCATGATTTCCGCTCACGGCCAGCTGTTTTCAATCTACAAGGTGGGTGGGGGAGCTGGGCTGAAGGTCAGGAGCTCACCCTGACCTGGTTTTGAACTGTCACCTTTATGGTTGGCAAGATTTACTGCAGCTGGTGATTGAAAGCCGGCCTTTTTATTTACTCATACACTCATGATTTCCGCTCACGGCCAACTATGCTTTCTTTCCACAGAATGGCTCCTAAGAAGAATGTTGGGGTCACTAAGGGCAAGGGCCTAGCCGAAAAGGTTCCGGGCAAGCACCTGCTCCCTTCAAACCTGGCCTCTTTGGACGAACTTGACATCCCAATGGAAGATCTCAAGAACTTACTGGCTCGAGTAGCTGCACTGGAAAGGAGGAACGGAAAAATGACTCCCTCCAGTTCTAGGCCAGTTCGCTTAGCTAGTAAGCGTTTGCTCATAAAATCTCTTCTTTCCCGTATCTCTGCCTTAGAGGAGTCCAGAAGAAAGAGGGCCGCGAGTTCTGGCCAACCCACAGTCAAGCTGGAGGATCCTACCAAGACGCTGGAGACAGCTCCCCAGGTGCACATATTGGAGCCATCATTGTCAAGCAGACCCGCAAGTAACACCCAAGTGGCCAGACCCGCAAGTAGCACCCATGTTGCTGGACCCGCAAGTAGCACCCATGTTGCCAGACCCGCAAGTAGCACCCAAGTTGCCAGACCCGCAAGTAACACCCAAGTGGTCAGACCCACAAGTAACACCCAAGTGGTCAGACCCGCAAGTAACACCCAAGTGGCCAGACCCGCAAGTAACACCAACACAAATTCACAAGCTAGTGCTGCCCAAAAGTCAACAACATCAGTGCTGCAGCCTCAGAATTGCTGGCCTCAGCAGCCCTGCCAGCAGGATTTAGGGACAATAACTAGTGTCCAGACATTGCCAGACAGACATGGTCCCTATCATCAATATTGGGGAACTCCTGAGTGGCCTCTGAAGGATACCCATGAGAGCAACAGCATTGGGTTGGGTGGACACCTTGCACGAAAAACAATAGACAAAATACTGAGGGGAGAATACATAGATATATTTTCACTGATGTTTAGAGAACCGGATGAATCGGACGATGAAGAAGAGGAAGAAATGAGAAGAGTCGATCAAAATTGGAGTAATTGGTTTCCATGTTTTTTAATATACGCTAGTGTTATAATAAAAGCATATCCAGCCAGAGCGCATTCACTAATTCAGTATTTGAACATTATCCACAATGCTTATATGAAGTTTAGGGGCAACGCTTGGTTGCGTTATGATGAGTGTTTTAGAACCAAAGCAGCTTGGTGTCCCACGTTGCGATGGGATCTCATTGAAATGCACCTGTGGCTGCAGTTAATGACCTCTGCACGGACGACTCGGGGAGAAAAGGGTGACAGCGGCCATATCATTCTAAATTTCGAAGAGGGAGAGCGCTTTTGGCCAAGGCCCCGCCAGCAGCGACAACAGAGTGCGGTGTGCTGGGTATACTCCTCTCAGGGTGAGTGCTTCAGAAGGGTTTGCAGATTCCAACATTGCTGTTCGATCTGCAATGGAACGCATTCATCCAAATTTTGCAATAGAGAAAATCCCTGAAAACCATCTGAAAGGATAATCAATATCCCAAAATGGTACAGGGGACTTCTTCCCTTTTTCAAAGGGCCCCAGTGTTGTATCTCAGTATCATTCACAGCAGGTTGATGGGTTCACTGATTATTTTGAGTCAGATGTGATTGTGGGCTTTCCTTTTTGAAGCAGGCCCTGGGATTCAGTCTTGTGCAGAAGGCCATTCTCATGCAGAGTCAGAAAATAAAACTACTTTAGACACAAGCACAGATGGACCTGAGAATAGAATTGCCTCTATTGCAGTGGTTTTCAAACTGTGGGTCCCCAGATGTTTTGGCCTCCAACTCCCAGAAAGCCTAACAGCTGGTAAACTGGCTGGGATTTCTGGGAGTTGTAGGCCAAAACATTTGGGAACCCACAGGTTGAGAAACGCTGCTCTATTGCCTTCAAGGCCATTCACGGGAGTTGGAATCATCCTCTCCAGATAAGGAGTCCAGCAAAGACGAATTGATTAGAAATTCTCATTGGTGACATTAACCTGAGTTAGGAGGCCCACCTGCAAATTCAAGTAGATAGGCAGCTTCGTAGGTCAACACATCTCAGTTGGAAGTGAATCATAATGTTTTCATGTCTATAAGGAGCTGCGGGCTCTTTGCTCTTCAGTTCAGGCAACATGGCTTTTAAGTTACACTCAAGCCTGGGTTCTCTAGTTCTTGTTTTGGGATTCAAGTAGCTTCGTAGGTCAACGCATCTCAGTTGGAAGTGAGTCATAATGTTTTCATGTCTATATATTAGGAGCTGCAGGCTCTTTGCTCTTCAGTTCAGGCAACATGGCTTTTAAGTTACACTCAAGCCTGGGTTCTCTAGTTCTTGTTTTGGCATTCAAGTATTCTGGGAATTTTCCCATGTTTTTCCATGTTCATGTCGTGTATCCTTGTTCAAGTTTGGCCAATGGACTCAAGTTGTTTTTGGATTTTGGACTATTCTTGAACTGTCTTGCTTGTGTATGTGCAAGAGACATTTGATTGCTGACTTTTTGGATTTTACACCTGCTTTCCCTATTCCTTTTTTTTTTTACTATATATTTTTTGTGTGATTTTTACAATAAACTGTTTTATCTTTACTCTGGACTCCTTTGTGATGCTCTGGTCATAGGTGGCTTCAAGTTTGGGGTGCAACACTCAATCCAATTAATTTGCACCGATTGGAAGTTTGGTTGAATGTCTATAATAATAACTTTCTCCCGAAGGGGACTCAGGGCAGATTCCAACATACAACAGCAAACATTCAATGCTTTCATGAAACAAACAAATACTGACATAAAATACAATGTGGGCCAGGAAAAACTACGGTGAGGTGGATCTGTAATTGGTTAAATGGACGAACCCAGAGGGTGCTCACCAATGCTTCCTCTTCATCCTGGAAAGAAGTGATGAGCGGAGTGCCGCAGGGTTCCGTCCTGGGCCCGGTCCTGTTCAACATCTTTATTAATGACTTAGATCAGGGGTCCACAAACTTTTTAAACAGAGGGCCGGGTCACAGTTCCTCAAACTGTTGGAGGGCCGGATTATAATTTGAAAAAAACCATGAATGAATTCCTATGCATACCACATATCTTATTTGTAGTGCAAAAATCACTTTAAAACAATACAATAATTAAAATGAAGAACAATTTTAACAAATATAAACTTATTAGTATCTCAATGGGAAGTGTGGGCCTGGTTTTGGCTGATGAGATAGGATTGTTGTCATTGTTGTGTGCTTCCAAGTCATTTCAGACTTAGGCTGACCCTGAGCGAGGGCCGGGTAAATGACCTTGGAGGGCCGCATCCAGCCCCCGGGCCTTAGTTTGAGGACCCCTGACTTAGATGAAGGGCTAGAAGGCAGGATCATCAAGTTTGCAGATGACACCAAATTGGGAGGGATAGCCAATACTCCAGAGGACAGGAGCAGAATTCAAAATGATCTTGACAGATTAGAGAGATGGGCCAAAACTAACAAAATGAAGTTCAACAGGGACAAATGCAAGATACTCCACTTTGGCAGGAAAAACAAAATGCAAAGATACAGAATGGGGGACGATGCCTGGCTCGAGAGCAGTACGTGGGAAAAAGATCTTGGAGTCCTCGTGGACAACAAGTCAAACATGAGCAACAATGTGATGTGGTGGCAAAAAAAGCCAATGAGATTTTGGCCTGCATCAATAGGAGCATAGTGTCTAGATCTAGGGAAGTAATGCTGTCCCTCTATTCCGCTTTGGTTAGAACACACCTGGAATATTGTGTCCAATTCTGGGCACCACAATTCAAGAGAGATATTGACAAGCTGGAATGTGTCCATAGGAGGGCGGCTAAAATGATCAAGGGTCTGGAGAACAAGCCCTATGAGGAGCTGTGCATGTTTAGCCTGAAGAAGAGAAGGACGAGAGGAGATATGATAGCCATGTATAAATATGTGAGAGGAAGCCACAGGGAGGAGGGAGCAAGCTTGTTTTCTGCTTCCCTGGAAACTAGGATGCAAAACAATGGCTTCAAACTACAAGGAGATTCCATCTGAACATGAGGAAGAACTTCCTGACTGTGAGAGCCGTTCAGCAGTGGAACTCTCTGCCCTGGAGTGTGGTGGAGGCTCCTTTGGAACTTTTAAACAGAAGCTGGATGGCCATCTGTCAGGGGTGATTTGAATGCAATATTCCTGCTTCTTGGCAGGGGATTGGACTGGGTGGCCCATGAGGTCTCTTCCTACTCTTTGATTCTATGATTCTATGAAACCCCAACATATGAAAACAGCAATTAAAAGCTAACACCAAACTAAAGATGCTATCACTGAATTAAACCTAATGTCAATAAATTAAAGGAACAGTCAGACAAAAATTATATAATGACATAAAATCTGAACAAACTATATTAATTTATAAAAGTCAACTGGAGTTCACAAACTTGTGTGGATTAGTTGTGTGACCTATGGTGGTAAATTGGTCTGGCATAGACTCGCAGAGTTCTCAACCAGGGCCCTGTAGTGGTCACTCATTGACTAATCCTCCGTATTCTAGTGTGCAGAAGTAGGTCTTCAGTTGTTTTCTGAAGGAGAGGAGGAAGGGGGCAGCTTTATTTCTTTAGGAAGGGAGTTCCAGAGGTAGGGGGTGACCACAGAGAAGACCCTCTCTCTTGTTCTCACCAGCCATACTTGGGATGGGGGTTGGACCAAGAGCAGGGCCTCCTCTACTGACTGCAGTGCCCAGGCTGGTTTGTAAGAGGAGATGTGTATATCCTTACACTATATTAGCCAACTATCTACGTCAGGCATGGGCAAACTTTTTAACTTGGGGGCTGCGTGGTAGGCCAGATTGGGATGGGCAGGCCATATTCTAGATCTGCATATTCTTCTGCAGTGAGGACATTGGTTTCCATGTGGAAGGTGGTCCCAGTCATGATTGGCTTGACATGCCTTCCTCTTGGCACGTTTCTCCCTTTCAACCTCCATTTGTGCCTCTGAATTCTGCAGCACTGCTGGTCACAGCTGACCTCCAATTATAGCGCTCAAGGGCCAGGGCTTCCCAATTCTCAGGGTCAATGTCACAGTTTATAAGGTTGGCTTTAAGCCCATCTTTAAATCTTTTCCTGTCCACCAACATTACATTTCCCATTCTTGAGTTCAACGTAGAACAACTGCTTTGGGAGACAGTGATGGGGCATTTGGACAATGTGGCTAGTCCAGCGGAGTTGATGGCTTAGGAGCATCACTTCAATGCTGGTGGTCTTTGCTTCTTCCAGCACGTTGACATGTCCACCTGTTTCCCAAGAGATTTACAGGATTTTTCAGAGGCAACGCTGATGGAATCGTTCCAGGAGTTGAGTGTGACGTCAATAGACAGTTCACGTTTTGCAGGCATATAGCAGGGTTGAGAGGATAATAGCTTAATAAACAAGCACCTTGGTCTCCCTATAGATGTCCTGGTCCTGTGCTAGCAGTAGAGTGCCACTGCTAGTTCAATAGCATAATCAAACACAACTCTCAAAAAATCCCAATTATGTTTCCTCCAAAACTTGCTGAGTTGATAAAAGTTTCATAAAAGGAAGAAAGGAATGAGGGGGAAAAAACATATTATAGACTAGCTGTCCCCTGCCATGCATTGCTGTGGCCCACATGGGGGTTCTATGTGGGAGGTTTGGCCCAATTCTATCGTCGGTGGGGTTCAGAATGCTCTGTGATTGTAGGTGAACTATAAATCCCAGCAACTACAACTCCCAAATGTCAAGATTCTATTTTCCCCAGATGCCAGCAATGTTCATATTTGGGCATATTAAGTATTCATGTAGAGTTTGGTCCAAATCCATCATTGTTTGAGTCCACAGTGATCTCTTGATGTAGGTGAACTACAACTCCCAAACCAAAGGACACTGCCCACCAAACCCTTCCAGTATTTTTTGTTGGTCATGGGAGAACTGTGTACCAAGTTTGGTCCAGTTCCATCATTGGTGGGGTTCAGAATGCTCTTTGATTTATAGGTGAACTATAAATCCCAACAACTACAACTCCCAAATGACAAAATCATTTTTTTGAGTGAAGGACATACATTGGGTTGTTAGGTGTCTTGTGTCCAAATTTGGTGTCTATTCCCCCAGTGGTTTTTGAGTTCTGTGAATCCCACAAACGAACATTACATTTTTATTTATATGTTGATGTGGCTTCTAAATACGTCTAGTTGATATGGGGGGGGGGGGGGGGGGGGGGGGGGGGGGGGGGAGATATTGACTGATCATCAATGGCCAGACCATCAAAGCTATACGATGAGCTCTTGAGTTTCTGAAGGCTGCTCAGGGAGCTCTTAGTACTGACTTCCATAAATTATATTGATTTTGCTAGTTTTTGTTAACTCTGCAGAAAAAGATTCTTCTTTCAAAGCAGTTGTACCAAAATACTGCCTAGATAGTTAAAGCAGGCTGGCAGTTGACCAAATTATAACTCATCCCTTTGCAAAGAGTGTCTTTGATAGTTTCTTTTTTGCATTTGGAACCCACTTAATGGCTTTGATGTATGATCTGCATATAAGATTTATCACTGCCGTAAAGCAAATAAAGCCACTATCAGCAATCTGTAAATCTTGATTTATCAGAGCTGTTCTTACACTAGATTTTGAGCTAGAAAATAACTGAGCAGTTAAAAGACGAGAAGAGCACAGCCCTCCAAATTCTGCTGATCTGCTACTGCTATCAATCTGAGCAAACTATTTTTGACTGGAATCCACTAAGTCACTTACAAATCTATATATTCACTAGCCGTCCCCTGCCACGTGTTGCTGTGGCCCACTCTGGTGGTCATGGGGGTTCCGTGTGGGAGGTTTGGCCCAATTCCATTGTTGACGGGGTTCAGAATGCTCTGTGAATGTAGGTGAACTACAAATCCCAGCAACTACAACTCCCAAATGTCAAGATTCTATTTTCCCCAAACTCCACCAGTGTTCACATTTGGGTATCTTGGATATTTGTGTAGAGTTTGGCCCAGATCCATCATTGTTTGAGTCCACAGTGCTCTCTGGATGTAGGTGAACTACAATTCCAAAACCAAAGGACACTGCCCACCAAACCGTTCCAGTATTTTCTGTTGGCAGTGGGAGAACTGGGTGCCAAATTTGGTTCAATTCCATCGTTGGTGGGGTTCAGAATGCTCTTTGATTGTAGGTGAACTATAACTCCCAGAAACTACAACTCCCAAATGACAAAATCAATTTTTTTGAGTGAAGGACATACATTGGGTTGTTCAGTGTCTCGTGTCCAAATTTGGTGTCAATTTGTCCAGTGGTTTTTGTGTTCTGTGAATACCACAAACGAACATTACATTTTTATTTATATTCATTACTATTTTTTATTCACGATCACTGATATTCCAGAAATCATGCCGGAAAGGCTATGAAAAAAAATGTAACAATAATGGCTGGAATTCATTTCTGGAGTTACAACTTAATAAGTGGGCATATTTTTGCAGGAAATAGAACTGAGTAGTTTCAAAATATCCATGTTTTGCATGAAGGTGCTGTTACATTAATGTATAGGTCAGCCAGAAAAGTGAAAGTTGCACATTGGGATGATGCACAACGGGACCCAATGCACTATGGATCCAATGTGAACCAGAACACCTATGTAGGTTGGGTCCTGTTATGCATCTACACAATACACAAAGAGGGGTTCGTCATCATCTTCAAGTTGGTATTGATAGAGACCATAGTGGTGCAGTGGGTTAAACTGCTAAGCTACAGGACTCGCTGATTGGAAGATCAGCAGTTCGAATCCACAGACAGGGTGAGCTCCTGGTGTTAGCCTCAGCTTCTACCAACCTAGCAGTTCGAAAACATGCAAATGTGAGTATATCAATAGGTACTAGGCATGTGCAATCCATGGTTCTAAATGGTTCTAAAGTACTTACAAAACTAAAGTTCTGGTGGTGAAAACTAGGGGGTGCTGGTGCTTTGCTTCTACAGTGTTGCTAAAGTTCTGGTGGTGAAACTTTCAGAACTCTTAACACAACTTTCAAAATTTCATTATAAATGGCAGTTCATAGAATCATAGAATCAAAGAGTTGGAAGAGACCTCATCCAGTCCAACCCCCTGCCAAGAAGCAGGAATATTGCATTCAAATCACCCCTGACAGATGGCCATCCAGCCTCTGTTTAAAAGCTTCTAAAGAAGGAGCCTCCACCACACTCCGGGGCAGAGAGTTCCACTGCTGAACGGCTCTCACAGTCAGGAAGTTCCTAATAGGTTCTGTCATAAAAATCACCAATAATGAACTTTTGAAAGTTTTGTTAGAGTTCTGAAATTTTCACCACCAGAACTTTAGCAACAGTGTAGAAGCAAAGCACCAGCGCCCCCTAGTTTTCACAACCAGAACTTTAGTTTTGTAAGTACTTTAGAACCATTTAGAATCATGGATTGCACATGCCTAATAGGTACCACTTCTGCGGGAAGGTAACGGTGCACCTTGCTATCATGCTGGCCACATGACCTAGGAGATGTCTATGGACAATGCCAGCTCTTCGGCTTAGAAATGGAGATGAGCACCACCTCCCAAAGTCAGATACGACTAGACTTAATGTCAAGGGGAAACCTTTACCTTTATTGATAGGTGAGCTCACGCTGACATGTTGATGAAAACCTAATCAAGCAATGATAGAGAAGACCTAATAGAAAGACATGGATCATGTTACTTCCAGCAATGTCATGGATGCCATCAGGTACAGCCCAATGTCCAAAGGGCCCTCAAGCAGTGAATCCAACTGCACCTGAGAGTTTCTCCTCAGTTAAGGCAAGAGGATGAGATATGGCAGGCTCAGGTTCTCTTCAGCCTTAACAATTTCCAGTTCTTTATATTATTTCCTTGCTGTTGATGAAGTATCTTTGACTGAGCTCCTCACATTGCGAAAATCCTTTCACGGAGCTCTTTAAAACTCCCACTTTTTGTCCAGTTGCATCTTGTACAGTGAGTATCCGCCTTAGGAACTGAACAAAAACAGAAAAGTCAGCATGTTTTTGGAAAAGAGATCTTACCTATGCATTGGATTTATTTATTATTTATTTATTTACAGCTTTTATATTTTGCCCTTCTCGCCCCGCAGGGGACTCAGGGTGGATTACAGTGTACACATATATGGCAAACATTCAATGCCAAATTTTGACATACAAACATATACAGACATACACAGGCTATATTTAACTTTTTCTAGCCGCTAGGGGAGCTGTCGCTTTCATTGTCCATCTGCGATGCTGATGAAGCACTTCCGCATTCCCCGCATGCTTCCCTGCTGGAATGCTTTTGCTGGAGTCTTCTTTATGGTCTCATAAATCAGTTAATTTAGCCTCCCCACACTTTAGGTGGTACCTTATTTTCCTACTTGACAGATGCAACTGTCTTTCGGGTTGCAAAGGTCGACAACAGGCTATACACAATTGGTTGGAAACCCACTCCAACCCGGGCTGGCTTCGAACTCATGGCCTTTTGGTCAGAGTGATCTTAATGCAGCTGACACTCAGCCAGCTGCGCCATAATCCCGGATTGTGGCAGAAGGTAGTTTGGACGCTCCAGAAGTCCTAGCTGGCAAAGAAGTCATAAAGGATTATAGGAACAGTACCCCAAAGCTTCTGACTTTCTGAATAGTATGATGACTTGTCAAAGGTTTCATGGCCGGAATCACTAGGTTGCTGTGAGTTTTCCGGGTTGTATGGCCATGTTCCAGAAGCATTTTCTCCTGACATTTCACCTGCATCTGTGGCAGGGATCCTGAGAGATTGTGAGGTCCTCGCAAACTCTAAGGAGGCCTGCCATAGATTCAGGTGAAACGTCAGGAGAGAATGCTACTGGAACATGGCCATACAGCCCGGAAAAATCGCAACAACCCAGTATTATGATTTCCGGTGAAGGAGGATGATGGGAGATCTATAGCTAAGATATTAAAGAAGGAAATGTCTTTGTACAGTGACTGATTCCCATGTCATTGGTATGGTGAGTCTACTTGGGTTTTAATCCAGACTTTAAAGGAGCCATCCAGGGTGCTGAACATGGTATCACAACACCCTGGATTATTCCTTTAATGTTTGGTCTAACACCTGGGGCAGATTCTGTTGGATTCAGGTACTTTCCCAAGACATTGGCTCCTTTTGGCGGTCACCTTTACCTGGGTTGGCAAGACAAATGAGCCAAATTTCTTGCATTCTTTCATCTGATCATAACTTTAGTAAATACAAGGCAAATTCTATTGCTGAAAGGTTCTCTAGTAAAATTTGAACACACATTTTGAAAACATATTCAGGTTGCTCAAGTCCTAACTAAAAGATTGTCTTGAGCAGAGAAAGAGATCAGCGGAACTTGAAAGAGAAGAAAGAAGATAGGGAGACCATGGTTTCTGAGAGTTTTGGAAAAGGTCATGTTATCTGCTTGCCTAAATACAGTGACTGCTGGTCACTATGCTTACCTCTGGAAACTGGTAGCCTTTCCTTTCAAGAAATTCCTTAAAAGCATGGATTCCATGAAGCTCCACAATCTCAGCATCCTGCAAAAGCACCACATGGTCAGAGAGAGGAAGGTACACTTTTTGAGCAACTTTCCCAAATCTGGTGCTCTTCAGATATGTTAAATATAAGATATCCCCCATCAGCACGTGCAATTGGGGTGAGAATTCTTTAGCAACACATTCAAAGGAACCTATCTTTATGTTGGATAAAGATTCATGAAAGAACATTCCTCCACATCACACAAAGCTCTCTCAAAAGGTGGCCATCCAGCCTCTGTTTTAAAACCTCAAGAGACTCCACTCTGAAGCTGCAGAGTCCACTGTTGAACAACACTTACCATCAGGAAGTTCTTCCTAAGGTTTTGGTGGAATCCCTTTTTCTGATATTTTATTTATTTTATTTTATTTACAGTATTTATATTCCACTCTTCTCAGGGCGGATCACAACGCACACATACATGGCAAATATTCAATGCCATTTTCTAGACGGACAGACAGAGGTATTTTTGGCATTTCCACTTTGGTGCCTGGAGGTTATACTCGATTCCAGCCATAGGGGAGAACTGTCGCTTCATCCACTATGACGCCGAATAATTTTGATCGTATTTCCTCCTTGCTCTTTGACCTCCAGCATTTTTATGGTGTCGTAAAATACCTCCCATTTTAAGCAGTCCCTAATTTCTCTACTCACAGCTCAGCTGTTTTTGAACTGCTTAGGTTCTCAACCTGGGGTCCCCAGATGTTTTTGGCCTTCAACTCCCAGAAATCCTAACAGCTGGTAAACTGGCTGGGATTTCTGGGAGTTTTAGGCCAAAAACATCTGGGGACCCCAGGTTGAGAACCACTGGCTTAGGTGGACAGTAAGCTAGACTTAACAGTCGGGTGCTCAAACCAATTTGGGCTTCGAACCAGTCATCTTCCGGTCAGCAGTGATCTATTGTAGGTAGTGATTAACCAGCTGTACTAGAGCCCGGCCTGCTCTGCTCACATTTGAATCCAAATGTGAGTAGACCTCCATAAGGAAATGTCCCTTTGGACAACTGAGTGGATGTGTGCCATGTTAGTCTAGTTCAGTGGTTCTCAACTTTCCTAATGCCGTGACCCCTTAATACAGTTCCTCATGTTGTGGTGACCCCTAACAATAAAATTATTTTTGTTGTTACTTCAAAATTGTAATTTTGCTGCTGTTATATCTGATATGCAGGATGTATTTTCATTCACTGGACCAAATTGGGCACAAATACTCGATACGCTCAAATTTGAATACCGGTGGGGTTGGGAGGGATTGATTTTGTCATTTGGGAGTTGTAGTTGCTGGGATTTATAGTTCACCTACAATCAAAGAACATTCTAAACTCCACCAATGATGGAATAGAACCAAACTTGGCACACAAAACTCCCACGACCAGCAGAAAATACTGGATGGATTTGGTGGGCATTGACCTTGAGTTTTGGAGTTGTAGTTCACCTACATCCAGAGAGCACTGTGGATTCAAACAATGATGCATCTGGAACAAATTTGGCACAAATCCTCAATATGCTCAAATGTGAACACTGTTGGAGTTTGGGGAAAGTAGACCTTGACATTTGGGAGTTGTGGTTGCTGGGATTTATAGTTCATCTACAATCAAAGAGCATTCTGAACCCCACCAACTATAGAATTGGGCAAACTTCCCACACGGAACCCCCATGACCAACAGAAAATACTGTCAGAGGCGACCCCTCTGACAACCCCCTCGCAACCCCCCCCCCCGGGGTCCCGACCCCCAGGTTGAGAAACGCTGGTCTGGTTGCTTGCATATTGCACTCTCAATGTAAGGACTTTCACAGAGAACTAGAGGATTTGTTTTGCAGCTGGGTATACCTTTCCATCAAATGACTTTCCTGAATTCCAGGTGTCTGCATCCTTTGATTTGGGGTCCACTAAAGGCTCATTCCTTTTCTGCTTTTTCCAAGTCTTTGGGTCCAAGTACCAGGCCCCATACCTGATCTTCTCCCACTTAGGCTGGCAAAATTCCTGTTTAAAATAACACCAACAAATAAAATATTAATAGCAGCAGGAAATAATTTCTAGTTGCATTTTTACCCCCTCCACCTCAACTGTGCATCAAAGATCCATCAAAGACTGGAGGATCCTAAAGACAGTTTCACAGAGTTGGAAGGGGCCTCTTGATCCATTGTCAACTCTTTGGTAAATGCAGAAAATCCAGACAGAATATCCTCAGCAATTAGCTGCCCGGCCTCTTTCTGAAGGCCTCTTTCCCTCAATAAACTACAAAATCTACAGTTCTGGTGTGGTGGCGTTTTGGGAGCAAGGTGAAGCCTACTCTGAGTTGCAACACAGTGGTGGCCCCCCGCCTGTAGAACTCCCTCCCCAGTGAAATCAGGTTGGCAGCATCTCTCCTTGCCTTAAGGAGAAAATTAAAAACATGGTTATCGGACCAGGTCTTCGGATAGCTTGCAGATAACTGACGATGACGATGATAAAACAAAATGGACACTAACTAATTGGTATAACTATATAGTTAATATGTTAAATGTGCAAATAACAAATTGTAAATGGAATAATATGCATCGGGAGCTCGACAGGGGGAGTGTGTCCCTGTTGGTGCTGCTCGACCTCTCAGCGGCCTTCGATACCGTCGACCACGGTATCCTTCTGGGACGCCTCGCGGGGATGGGTCTTGGAGGTACTGTTCTGCAGCGGCTCCGCTCATTCCTCGAGGGTCGGTCTCAGAAGGTGTTACTGGGAGACTCCTGTTCAACCCCACAACCTTTGTCTTGTGGGGTTCCTCAGGGTTCAATACTGTCTCCCATGTTGTTTAACATCTACATGAAGCCGCTGGGCGAGATCATCCGGAGTTTCGGAGTGCGATGTCATCTGTACGCAGATGATTTTCAACTCTGTCACTCCTTTCCACCTGCTACTAAGGAGGCTGTCGAGGTCCTGAACCGGTGCTTGGCCGCTGTGACGGTCTGGATGGGGGCGAACAAATTGAAATTGAATCCAGACAAGACAGAGGTACTCCTGGTTAGTCGCAAGGCCGAACAGGGTATAGGGTTACAGCCTGTGTTAGACGGGGTCGCACTCCCCCTGAAGACGCAGGTTCGCAGTTTGGGTGTGATCCTGGACTCATCGCTGAGCCTGGAACCCCAGGTTTCGGCGGTGACCAGGGGAGCTTTCGCACAGTTAAAACTTGTGCGCCAACTGCGACCGTACCTTGGGAAGTCTGACTTAGCCACGGTAGTCCACGCTCTGGTTACATCCCGCCTTGATTACTGCAACGCTCTCTACGTGGGGTTGCCTTTGAAGACAGCCCGGAAGCTCCAACTAGTCCAACGGGCGGCAGCCATGATACTAACAGGAGCGGGGCGCAGGGAGCACACAACTCCTCTGCTGCACCAGCTCCACTGGCTGCCGATATGCTACCGGGCTCAATTCAAAGTGCTGGCGTTGGCCTTTAAAGCCCTAAACGGTTCTGGCCCAACTTATCTATCCGAACGTATCTCAGCCTATCAGCCCACCAGGACCCTAAGATCTTCTGGAGAGTCCCTGCTCTCTATCCCGCCGGCTTCACAAGTGCGGCTGGTGGGAACGAGAGACAGGGCTTTTTCTGTGGTGGCCCCTCGGCTTTGGAACGCCCTCCCTATAGAGGTACGATCAGCCTCCTCGCTAATGGTGTTTTGGAAGAGATTGAAAACATGGTTGTTTAAACAGGCATTTGGTTAATCCGTTGCAATCGAATTTTGATGACTAAAGGACTGGTAACCATGGACGACGAATCTTGGATTGTGATTTTAATTACGAGATGCATGGGATGATTATTGGTGGCCCAATAATTTGTATTGTATATGTGTTGTATGTTTCAAATTGAAAATGTGTTAAGATGTGGAGTAGAACAATTAAGACTGAGACTGATATTTCAAATGTAACTTCTGTAGTTTGATGTATAAATTGTATATACAAGGAGGGGAGGGTGGGAGTGGGGAAAAAACCCTAATAAAAATTAAAAAGAAAAAGAAAAAGAAAAAAGAATTGTGCTGGATGTAAGCCGCCCTGAGTCGTCCCCCCCCCCAGAGGTTGAGAAGGGTGGGGTATAAATGTTTGAAACAAGCAAATAAATAAATAAATAATTTGCTTGTGAAACTCGGTGGTTGCTGTCACAGGGTGTCCAACTCTTTTTTGTCATGCAAGTCAGATGTTCCCACTTAACATCTTTAAACGTACTTGCCCAACGATGCACAGTACTCACATCAACACAATCACCATAAACAGCTTGCATTCTCTGATTAATTTCCTTTGGGGTGACACCTTCTGCTGTCAAGAATTCAATGACTGCATGTTGCTTAAGTCGCATTGACCGACCGTCTGCACAGGATTCAATACTTTGCACTTTAACAACACAACTGTTCAATGCTAAGGCTTCCCGTTAAAATGGAACTGTAGAGGAGAGTCTACTGAACAAACCAGTACCTGCCACATATTAGTACTGCCTTCTGTTGAGGAGTTACGAAGGTGGAGGCATTACTTTTCATTCAACCCTCGTACCACATACCAGTACCTAAATACTAAGGTTCACATACCTTTGGTTGTCTTTTCGTGGCAGCCTGAAGTGGAGTCTTCCCAACATACACCTGCAGCTCTGCAGGCAAATCTTGCAGTTCCACAACATTTATAGGAATAGAGTTAGGTATCTTCGTCTCATATCTTGCATCAAACAGGCTTATAACAGTGGCTTCATTGATGTCATACTTCTCTCCTCCCTAGAAGGGTAATTCAAACTGATTCTGATTTACACATTATACAACACAGGTTTCATCCATTTGAAATGCATTAAGGGACAGACACATTGAAATATATACTTGGGGAGAAATGTCTGACTACCTATTTTCAGGAGAAACAGGTATGTTGCAATTCATATTTATTTATTTATTTACTGGGCTTATATACCGCAATTCTCAGCCCAAGGGCGACTCATTGCGGTGTCCAAAGAATATATTTACATGTGCTCTTCAGAGGAGATTTTAAAATGGCAGATCAAAATAAATAATAATAATAATAATAATTATTATTATTATTATTATCTTTATTTGTACCCTGCTACCATCTCCCCATGCAGTCATGCTGGCCACATGACCTTGGAGGTGTCTACGGACAACGCTGGCTCTTCGGCTTAGAAATGGAGATGAGCACCACACCCCAGAGTCAGACATGACTGGACTTAATGTCAGGGGACTACCTTTACCATCTCCCCAAGGGACTTGGTGCGGCTTACATGAGGCCGAGCCCACAATACATCAGTACAAGCAATAACAACAACAATAAAAACAATTAAAATAAAACTCATAAAAAAGCAATAAACAATGACAGTAATACATCACACATTTAAAATCTATGGCTGGGCCAAATGTAATTAAAGTTTAAAAATAATGCTGGGCATGAACAAGATAGGAGAGATGGGGCGTTGGTGAGAGCATACAAGCAATCCTAAATCAGTGTAAAGTGCATTTAGAGGACATAATGCTGAGAGTTCATTATTCTGGGAAGGCACACTGGAACAACCACGTTTTCAGGCTCCTCCTAAAGACTGCCAGAGTTGGGGCATGGCTGATGTCCTTGGGAAGTGAGTTCCAGTGTCGAGGGGCCACCACTGAGAAAGCCCTCTCCTTCGTCCCCACCAATCGCGCCTGCAATGGAGGTGGGAGTGCGAGAAGGGCCTCTCCAGATGATCAAAGAGATTGTGTGGGTTCGTACACAGAAATGCGGTCACGCAGGTAGGCGGGTCCCAAACCATTCAGGGCTTTGGAGGCAAGAACCTGCTCCTTGAATTGGGACCGGAAAATGAACGGCAGCCAGTGGAGCTTCTTAAACAGGAGGGTTGACCACTCCCTGAAAGGAGCACCAGTTAACAACCTGGCCACTGCCCGTTGGACCAACTGAAATTTCCGAGCCATTTTCAAGGGCAGCCCCACATAAAGCGCATTACAGTAGTCCAATCTGGAGGCGACTAAGGCATGGACCACCCTGGCTAGATCCGCCTTCACGAGGTAAGGTCGCAGCTGGTGCACAAGTCTTAATTGTGCGAAGGCCCTCCCGGCCACCACCGACGCATGAGCTTCAAGCGTAAGTGATGAGTCCAGGAGGACACCCAAACTACGGACCTGTGATTTCAGGGGGAGTGCAACCCCGTCCAGCACAGATTGCCACCCTATACCCCGATCTGGTTTATGATCAACCAAGAGGACCTCTGTCTTGTTGGGATTGATTCTCAGCTTGTTCCTTCTCATCCAGACAGCCACAGCGGCCAAGAACATGAAATGGCAGTAGGGTAGAAACATGTGAATTGGGAATAGACGGGTTTACCGAATTTCCAGGAAAATATTTCCAAAATGAAGATAATTTGTGTGGAGGTTTTAAAATGCTTCCATTACCTTGTCAACAAGACATTAAAGGACTGCATTGCAGCCTGAATATGTAGCAAACTACAGCTGGACTTTGAAGATTAAATGAAGGCATTCATTTACTCACCAGGGACTCAAACCAGCTGCAAAGCTCCTCTGTGGCTTGCTTGACATTTTCACTGAGAGGTGGAATATAATTCAGCATGGCCTCCCTTTCTCTTGCCTTCACTTCTTTTTTGGAGAACCAGGTATAAGGATCCTTTGCTTTGGGGTCTTTGCTGTATAGACATAGGACTAAGATCATTATTTAGTAAAAAAAATGAGGTTACTTATGCATTTCCTTCAAAAGACTCCTCAGATGGGTTGCTGTGAGTTTTCTGGGCTGTATGGCCATGTTCTAGAGGCATTCTCTCCTGACGTTTCGCCTGCATCTATGGCAAGCATCCTCAGAGGTAGTGAGGTTTGTTGGAACTAGGAAAATGGGTTTATATATCTGTGGAATGACCAGGGTGGGACAAAGAACTCTAAAAAAACACCTCTAAAATTACAACAGCAAAACAACAGAGAGGAAACAATCAAAGACATCTAATCACCTCTCAACAAAAGATTGCCCCAGGCAGCAACAAGCCACACCAAACAACTGCTAGGCCATCAAATGCTAATCAAGGTGGTCAGTTGAAACATTCATACCTAGCTCCAACAGACAAGAGTTCTTTGTCCCACCCTGGTCATTCCACAGGTATATAAACCCATTTTCCTAGTTTCAGAACATGGCCATATAGCCCGAAAAAACCTACAACAACCCAGTGATTCCGGCCATGAAAGCCTTCAACAATACATTCTCTCCTGACATTTCACCAACATCTTTGGCAGGCAGCCTCAGAGGTTGTGAGGTCAACCTCTGAGGTTGTCTGCCAAAGATGTGGGTGGTTGACCTCACAACCTCTAAGGATGCCTGCCATAGATGTGGGCAAAACATCAGGAGGGAATGCTTCTGGAACATGGCCATACAGCCCAGAAAATTCACAGCAACCCGGTCAGTCATTCCAGCCATGAAAGCCTTCAACAACCCTCCTCAGATGCTTTCTCATTTGTACCCACATGATGGCATTCGAGAGCTGTTAGTGATATGAGCATGTCTCAGTTCTTGTGGGTTTTTTCGGGCTATATGGCCATGTTCTAGAGGCATTTCTCCTGACGTTTCGCCTGCATCTATGGCAAGCATCCTCAGAGGTAGGACAATATGTGTGCTATACCATAGATGCAGGCGAAACGTCAGGAGAAAATGCCTCTAGAACATGGCCATATAGCCCGAAAAAACCCACAAGAACTGAGTGATTCCAGCCATGAAAGCCTTCGACAAGATATGAGCATGTCTGTTTTTATCTTAGTCTCTTACAGAATTCAGTATAAAAAGTTAAGGAAATTGAAATTTCCTAAAATTAAGAATCCATCCATTTCTTTTGTTTACATTTATTTATTTATTTGTGAATGAGATGAAGAAGATATACACGACTTTCTTCTGTGCCCCTTTATCTCTCATTCATAGGGGCACCATCAGTTGAGGTTGACATGACAGCAGTTAACATCAACAAAAGCAGAATGTCATGCAGCATCTATAATGTTTAGTTTAATAATGTATATACTGAGGATAACACTTCATGCTTTGTACTAAGTGCACTCTAGCCAAAGAAATCTTACAAGGGTGCCATGGTATCATCTTAAACATATAAACTAGGGAGAAAGAGGTTCTTGTAGTTTTTTTGGGCTGTATGGCCATGTACTAGATGCATTCTCTCCTGACGTTTCGCCTGCATCTGTGGCAAGCATCCTCAGAGGTTGTGACCTCTGAGGATGCTTGCCGGAGATGCACAACCTCCGAGGATGCTTGCCACAGATGCAGGTGAAACGTCAGAAGATAATGCTTCTAGAACATGGCCATACAGCCTGAAAAACCTACAACAACCCAGTGATTCCGACCATGAAAGCCTTCGACAATACATTAGGGAGGAAGAGTTAATAGGACTTACTTCTGAGTCAATATGCTTAGGCATGTTGTTATTTTTGGAATATCCATCTAAAGATGCTGCAACACCATCATTAAAGTACTCACTTTTACTTAGTACTCACTGGTTGGTGAACTTGGACTTTGTTTGTCTGCCTCTTTTGTTCTCCATCCGAGACTTCATTGCAGAGGAGGTTTGATGCTCCTGTTCAACAAAACGTGCACCAACTTCTTCACCAACTGGAAGCATTTCTGGATCCAGAATGCCAACAACCTCCTTGAAAAGCTACGAATGAAATAACAGAAGAAAAGGGATTATAGACTGCCAATGTATCACCAAAGATGTTCCTTTGATTGTACATAAAGCAGCTGTGATTCAGCAGAGCTAAGAAATGTTATTTTTTTCTATCTTGCAAGCCCCCAAATTTCGCAGGCAACATGGGGAAAGGGGCTTGTGGGGTTTTCTGCCTTATGTCTCAAAATAATTTGCTAGGCTTTAGCTATTATATACATTAATGGGGGTCATCATTTGCTTTTCTCCTTATGGCCACAAAGACTGAATATGCACAGCATATACCAAGCATTTTGGTCCACTTTCACCCCATCTACACTGCCATATAATACAGTTTGAACTGGATTATATTGGTCAATAATGATAATAATAATAATAATAATAATAATAATACTATCTCCCCAAAGAGACTCAAAGCAGTAAACAACAAAGTCAGCAAACATTCACTGTCCTACAAAAGAAAAATACATAAACAAATAACCATCCCACTCAAAGCATACAGAATTGTGTTAAAGGCAGAAAACCCAACCAAAAACCACAAAACATTCCAGAAAGCTGATGCCTTATATGCAAGTGGTAGGACTACTTTTTAGTACAAAATTCAGATAGTTTAACAATGTGTAGGTTTACACATAGAAACATGTACAAAGTTCATTTATAAAAATCCACATTCAGATCAAATATTAAATTATATGAATATATGTAGACCCATATAATGCAGACTGAGGCCCCATATACACTTCCATCTAATCTAGTATCTGAATCCAGATTATCTGCTTTGAACTGTATCATATGGCAGTGTAGACTCATATAATCCAGTTCAACGCAGATAATCTGGATTCGGAAATTGGATTATATGGCCATGTAGATCCAGCCTGAATTGCATTAAACTTGATTATATGAATCTACACTGCCATATAATTCAGTTCCACACAGTTAATCTACATTCTGAAACTGGATTATATGACAATGTAGATGGGGCCTTTAATTGCCATTGTTCTGTCCCACATAAACCAGATTGTCATTGTTGTCTTATCAGTTTTAAATTTATTTGTTTATGCAATGCTTTTGACATTAAATAAATAAATAAATTGTTGATTTACTTAAACTTGGCATAATCTGCTAGAGTAATCTAGCAGATTATGCCAAGTACCTCCTGTTATTGTGCATCTTCAAGTCATTTCTGATGACCCAAAATATTTATTTTGACATGATTTTGTCAGAACAGATTTGCCATTGTCTTCCTCGGAGGTTGACTTGTCTGTGCAATTTCAAGTGTGGATTTACACCCTAGTAGTAACCCTCTAATGCTCCAACCACCATCCTATGCTGGTTCCCCCACCAAACTACAAATCCTAGGAGTCTATGAGAAGGAACCCTTGCAGTTAAAGTACAATCAAACTGCTGCAATTGTGTCAGATAGATATCCTCAAAAGTGCCATCAGGTCAACTTTGGATAGGAATTCCTGATAAGGAATAAAGTAAGAAGCCAGGGTTGAATACAAAGTTGCAAACAAAATAGAATATCAAAATCAGGATATCTCTCTCTCTCTTTCTTTCTTTCTTTCTTTCTTTCTTTCTTTCTTTCTTTCTTTCTTTCTTTCTTTCTTTCTTTCTCTGAGTTTGAATTGCCCAGGATGATGGACAGAATTTAGACCAGAGAAATAGTCGCAGGAAGAGCATTATCTTCTCTTGTTTTGTTGGTTTGCTCTTAGGAATCCCAAGGACAGAATTCTTGTGCCGTATTCAACTTTGGGTCATTTCCACATTCATTAGGAAGTCCAGGGCACTGACAGAAGTGTCAAGCCAGGATATCTGGAAATTCCCAGAGATGTTGTGTTTATCTCTCACCAAAATGACAAAGAGCCTTACGGCGCCCCAAAGAAATCACTGCTGATTCCCCAAACCAGAACCCTCTGCACACACACACACACACACACACACACACACACTAGCTGTACCCACCACGCGTTGCTATGGCCAACCTTCCCTCTTTCTCTCCTTCCCTCCTTCCTTCCTTCCTTCCTTCCTTCCTTCCTTCCTTCCTTCCTTCCTTCCTTCCTTCCTTCCTTCCTTCCTTCTCTTCCTCTTCCCTTCCTTTGCCCCTTTTCTTTCTCTTCCTCTTTCCCCCCTTTCTTCCTTCTCTACCTATTCATGGACTGCAACTCCCAGCAGTCCTCCTGATCGATTTATCTACCTACCTATCTCTATCTGATTTATCTATCTGGATGAGTGCTGGGAGTTGCAGTCCAGGAATAGGAAATATGCAGGGATTGGGATGCTCTCAAAGAAATCCAAGGAGAAGCAAGTTTGCATCTTGGAAGCAGTGCATTTGGATCATCCTCCTCTCCTAAAGGGCCTGGTCTAGGGGATGCTGGGAGCTGTAGTCTGGAAGAGAGTGTGGATGTGCTATTGTGTTTTTTGTTTGCCAGGGGGAGTCATTTTTGTGCATGTGCTATAGCATCTTTTTACTTTTTTGGCAGTTGCAACTAGATGTCCCTGTGTACATTCAGACACATCCTGCACCAGTTTGTCTGTTGTTCATTCGTTCAGTCATCTCCGACTCTTCGTGACCTCATGGACCAGCCCACGCCAGAGCTCCCTGTCGGCCGTCACCACCCCCAGATCCTTCAAGGTCAGTCCAGTCACTTCAAGGATGCCATCCATCCATCTTGCCTTGGTCGGCCCCTCTTCCTTTTGCCTTCCACTTTCCCCAGCATAATTGTCTTCTCTAGGCTTTCCTGTCTCCTCATGATGTGGCCAAAGTACTTCATCTTTGTCTCTACTCCTTCCCTCCAGTGAGCAGTCGGGCTTTATTTCCTGGAGGATGGACTGGTTGGATCTTCTCGCAGTCCAAGGCACTCTCAGAACTTTCCTCCAACACCACAGCTCAAATAGGTGTATTGTGTCCAAATTTGGTGTCAATTCATCCAGTGGTTTTTGGGTTATGTCACTCCCACAATCTAACATTACACTTTTATACAGTGTAATACAGTGTTATACAGTGTATACATACATACAAGAGTCTCACTTATGCAACATAAATGGGCTGGCAGAACATTGGATCAGTAAAAATATTGGATCATAAGGAGGGATTAAGGACAAGCCTATTAAATGTCAAATTATGTTATGCTTTTACAAATTAAGCACCAAAACATCATGTTTTACAACAAATTGACAGAAAAAGCAGTTCAATACATGTCAACGTTATATAGTAATTGTTGTATTTATGAATTTATCAACAAAATATTGCAATGTATTGAAACAACTGTGGATTCGGGCAAGAGGCAGACTGCGTTGGATAATACAGAACGTTGGATGAGTAAAAATTGGATAAGCAAAACTCTACTGTGTATGTGTGTGTATACATACACACACACATATACTTGCAGCTTAGGATAACATTCCATGTGTTTGATAAAGTGTCTGGCTGCAAACATTTATGAAACAGTAAACACGTTCATCTTTAAACTGTGGTGTTCACAAGACTTTGTTTTTGTTCTGCAAAAGACTAGCACAGCTGCGTATAAAATCATCCACTTTCCATTTGCTTCTGGAAATGAACCATTTTCATAAATTGTTATCCTTGCAGAGAACAATGGTTTTATGCACCTTAAACTTCACCTCCAGGTCAAAGAGAAAACCAAGGGTGCATCTGCATTGCTGAATGAATGTAGTTTGACATCACTTTCACTGCCATGGCTCAATGCAATGGAATCCTGGGTTTTGTAGTTTGGTGAGGCACCAGATCTCTTTGGGAGAAAAAGCGAAAGGTTTTGTAGAAATGAATCTCCCATGAGCCCATAGCATTGAGCCATGGCAATTAAAATGGTGTCATTAATTCTATAGTATAGATGCCTGCAGATGCAAGAGGCCAACTTCCTATGTTGATTAGGCTACTTTGGGGAAAGTCCCATGGCTTCTCAACATTATGAGAACTTCTTCTGGGAAGATAAACAGATCCTCTTCATGCATTGTGTGATCGTTTTATTATGCATGTTTCGGTTTTGTTACTACTACCCTTTTCTCGTGGCCTGATGAAACCATGCACGGTACATGACTTACAAAAAATTGATTTCACACAGTGTGTGCATCATATTTGACTTGATATAGACACAAGGTTGCCACCATTGAGGAAGATGAGTTGGTTTTATGTCTTGAAAATCAATTTGATTAGCAAAGGAGAAAATCTCTCTCTATCATTTCAGTACAAGTTTCTGCCAAACTAGGCTCCTTCCACACAACTATATAAAATCCATATTGAACTGGATTATATGGCAGTGTGGACTCAAATAATCCAATTCAAAGCAGATACTGTGGACTATCTGCCTTGATATTTTGGGTTATACGACTGTGTGTAAGGGTCCCCCAGTTGATGTAAAAAGCACCAGAACAATTCAGACTAGTAGGAAATGAGAAAGATTAATTCAAGATGGATAGACTCAATCAAAGGCCCCTTTTACACGTCCATCTAATCTAGTTTCAGGATGCAGGTTGATGACATTGAACTGGATGATATGGCAGTGTAGACTCATACCATTCAGTTCAATGCAGTTCATAGAATCATAGAATCATAGAATCATAGAATCAAAGAGTTGGAAGAGACCTCATGGGCCATCCAGTCCAACCCCCTGCCAAGAAGCAGGAATTGCATTCAAATCACCCCTGACAGATGGCCATCCAGCCTCTGCTTAAAAGCTTCCAAAGAAGGAGCCTCCACCACACTCCGGGGCAGAGAGTTCCACTGCTGAACGGCTCTCACAGTTCAGGGCTCTTTCACACAGCCATATAACCCAGAGTATCAAGGCAGATAATCCACAGTATTAGGCCTGTTTGATCAAGAAAAAATTTGTTTCTAAAATCGTTTTGTAATTGGGGTGTTTTTTTGTTTNCCCCCCCCCCCCCCCCCGGCTACATGCCTGATGGATATATGATCTTTCAAATAGTCTGGATCACCTGAGCCACCAAGGACATTAAAAGTTATAACTAGGATT